CGGGATGGGACGACAAAGCGAAATCCCGTACCGTCCCATCCAGTGGGAAAGCCTACTTGTAGTTGCATACTCAGCAACAATTACCCTCGGATGTATATGAATCTAAGCAATTATCAGTATTGCAAACCCGATGAGGTTTCGAACGGTACCCCAGATGAGGGGTGGGTTATAAGACACAGCTTGACCTGTGACCACACCTCCTGACCTCGGGAGTGGCTGTACCTGCTTTGCCTAAAATTACACTAAATAGGAATTGAGAAGAGCTTTTCAACGACACCCCACATGATGGGAGTAGTCATAAGACACATTCTGACCTTTGACCACACCCCCTGACCTCGGGAGTGGCTGTACCTGCTTTGCCTAAAATTACACTAAATAGGAATTGAGAAGAGCTTTTCAACGACACCCCATATGATGGGAATAGTCATAAGACACATTTTGACCTTTGACCACACCCCCAGGGGGTGTGTCGGGCATTACTGGACATACCCAAAACTACACTTGACAATCATACGCCGACTCCCGTCAACAGAATTACGAAAGCTTCATTGGTTTTAAAGTTATGGGTTTTGCAAAGAATATAGCAATCCGGACCAGTGTGGATCGGGGTGGTCATGTTAAATGCTAATTTGACTGATATTTAACGATGACAAATTTTAAACAAATGTTACATTAAACTTTAATCAGGGTGGAAAGACTTTTTTCCAATTATAATTTTGGATATAATTACACCGTTTCGCTTCTTGTGCCTCACCGTTATCCAAAGTATAGTTTCGAAAACCTTACATCGTGGCAAGCATTTGTGCAAAATTGCAGTTCATTCGATAAAGCTTCTCGAGCTATATAACGCTTTAAGTGCAAAAAGCATGAGGGTGGAAAGAATTTCTGCCTATACTGTATGCCCATATTATCACTTGATTGGATGATCACGGGTATAGAACAATAAATTTATGAGGGTGTCAGTCGTATGAGAAGAAGAGGATGAAACCACATTGAGAAAATTAACAACTTCTGAAATTTGAGTGAATGAACTCCGCATTTTCACTCCGCAAACCTTCATTTTTGTGGAGCGGAAGTTCGCGGAGTAGGTCGCCACTGTGAAACGCTCCCACTCTGCACTCTACAAATTTTGTAAAGTGCGGAGTGCAGAATCTGGAGTGCAGAGTATGGTGTGGTGAAATAGGGCCCTGTTCACTTTAATTCACGCGACTGATTATGATAGAGAATGATAGCGAATGAAAATTAATTTGCTGTAATTTGAATTAAAATGAGTGAAAGCTTCAGTTATTTCAGATGAATGACTGTGAAAGAAACGATTTCTCACCCCTTTCATTTTTCACCCTATGCTTAATACAAAGGGCGCGTTAAGAATGAAGTAAGATAAAGTGAAATGTAATGAGTTTAATAGAAAATGACTCAGTGTGAATAAAAATCTTCAGTCAGAAATTGGTAAGACTTAACTTTGAATGAAAACAGGAATTAACTCATCTGTTACATCCGAACCTTAGTACATAACCTCAACACTTTGTTCTTACTACCCTTCAATAATTCGGGTACTACCTCTCCTGTAAAAATTACTAGTCCAACCAACAATAATACTAACACTAGAGCAAATGGAACCCGTAGTTTGGTCAAGTCCATCGTTTCATCCTCACCCCCCGCAGAGTCGGATCGTATTCCGAAAATGATTTTCTGAAAATTCACATCAAACTTTACCCTCTTTCCGTTCATAAGATTTGCATCAATATTCAATCGAGCCCCAATTTTCTCTAGATTCTGGAAATGACAAAAAATCCCCGACTCCACGATGCGAGCAAGCTGTACAGAAAAGAGAGCCCCGAAAAAGTTAGGATCAATCAGCCAGGCGTAATGAGTCGTGTAAAAATCTGCGTCCCTATTTCGTATCGGGGTATATCCTGCGCCAAAAAAATTCAAGATGCTCTCCAATTTCCAGAGGGTTTCGTCCTTATCGATCGCTGCAAAAACTCCTCCCACAGTTAGCCATTCCCCCGAAGAAAGTAGGACTGGACTCCGGGTAAAAGTTGAATTCGCAAATTGTACAATATTTGTTACCCTGGAGTCACAATATTTCACTCTTGCTTGAAAGGTTTCAAACATTCGAAATTTTTGCGATCCGTTTCCCGCAAGTCGTAAAATATGCGGGATTATGAAATCCTTCAGAATGGATGTTTGTTCCACATCCGCTCCAAACATTCTGGTAAATGTTACACTTTGAATCGGATATTTATCCCAGGTCGAAAGTTCCCCCAAAGTGGCGGGAAGTCTGAGCGATCCCGGTGCCGCAAGGGAGGAGATCATGAAACTTTTGTACACATTATTAACCACGACGAAACCCAGAATCCAGGCGCAAAGCAAGACCCGCATTCCGCCAAATAACATCCTATCCGGGAGCGGTTGGTCCAATACGGTTACGAAAAAATGAAGCACAGTTTCCTTGAATTGGAGGATTTTCTTGGCATCAAATTTTCTAAATAGCCCGACAACAAGGACACTTTGGGACAAGATGACGCACCAAATAGTTAAGTCGTAGGGTGAAATTAGCGCTAAATAATCCTCCCCAGTAATCTTAAGCGCGAATATTTGAAATTTCTAGTGCACTTTTTCAGCCCCGATAAACATCCAGGCGTATTTTTCCCGCATTAAGTACTCGTAATATTTATCGATCAACAAGGTCATGTATGCCCCGCCCACGTGGTACATGCTGCGCTGAGTGATTGTATAATTCATTCGTACACTCAGAATATGTTGAATTATGTCTTTCGCCTTTAAAGCGTCGGAACGATTTTTGTAAAAACCGAATCCAGACATCAAAATTTTGATGGCCATGTTGTCCTTGTAGTGAGAAATGGGAAACTGGTTTAGATTCTGGTGCACTTGAAGCCATACCTGTTCAAAGATTATTTGTTCATTCAAAATTCATTCATCGTAAAAGTTAGACAACATTACTGGATCAGTATTCAAATTTGAAAACGAATATTTACTCAGTAAGCATTTTTTACTAATTTTTATGTCAACTTTCCCTTGTTAGGTGGATTTCGCGTTACACCCTATGTACTATATGTGTTAAGCGTGGGGGAAAAAGAAATAATAAATACAATTATTCCTTCATTCTTCGTGAATAAGAAATGAATAAATATTTATTTAATATTCAAAAGTTTCAAAAAAATTATTCATTAATTTATATATTTATTCCTTCTTTATTGAAACAACGAAAGAGAAAAAGTGTATGTAAAACTTGATCTACCTTGTCTAAGGAAATCCTTTCAGAATTTCCGGGGTTTGAGACTCGTACCGGAATTAGGAAATGTGCCATGGATTTCTTCCTTCTCACGCAGGTGTAACAATACAAGGATATTTCAGAAGTGGGGGAATCGTAAAACAATATTTTACTTGTTAGTAAACCTTTGTGGAAAATGGAGATAAATTGTACCCAGTTCTGAGTGATTTTCTTGCTTGGATTAGCAACATCTTGGAAAATGAAATAATCCGGGTCTTTAATCGTACTTCGTGTAAGCAAATAGATGACGGAATCTAAATAAAACGGTTTTTCTTCTTCAGCTAAAACATTGGATAAATCTAAATGTACAACGTAACATGGAATTTTAACAGAGTAAAAGTTTTTTCCTCTATAAAATTCCGTCCTGTTGTGTAAGAATAGTTTGAATGCGAGTGTGATTCTGTGAGAGTCCAGATTTCCTGGGGAGATGTGGTCCAGAATGGTAGGAATTTGTGTGTTATATCCATTAGATGGATGGGATTTCCACAGTTTTGGGCTAAAGGTTACGACATGAAGACTGCAACGTCGAAAAGTTTGGGAAAATAAGGTTTCGGCGGTTAAATTTTTGACACTACCAGTTTCCGAAATTTTTGGTAGAGTGTGTATTAATATGATAAAAATTACTTGACAAAAGTTGTTCATATTTGTAGATATGTATGTTCACAAGTGTTTTTGAGGAAATTGTGTTAGGCTTCAATCAAAAGGTTAGTTTGTTGGTTATATTTCTTCGTAAGTGGTCACGTAGACTATTTACGCTGAAGGGGAAGATTTATGTAGCTAAAACCTGCAATTTTAGCTGGGTTAATGAGTTTCTGGGGAAATTTGTTTACTTCTCTAGTTCCTAGACCAGTGTTCTGCATTATTAGCTCACCCTGCGTAGCATGACAGCTATTGAATTCCTCCTGTCCGTCCGTCTGTCCGTCTGTCTGTTAACGACCTTTTTGCATCAATTGATGCTAATTAAAATGTCCCTGCTGCATTTTTTCATAAATTTATAGCACCGTTGGTATCTGACAATCGGAAACACCAAATGATGCGAAATAATTGGGGGAAGCGATGTAAAACGCACCAATAGTGCAGAATATCCGGAAAAGATAATCCTACAATTTTGACATAAAGTTTTCAAAGTTAAAAATGGCCCTTGGTCTCTCATACTGCGCAGGTGGTGCATACTAATTCGGCCTTTTCTTCATTTTTCCGTTTATATTGCACCCTTGGTGCAAGAATGTATAAAAATTATGCTCTCTTTTGTCGGCTTATTCCGCACCTTTGGTGCAAAGTTATATCTAAATCATTATGAACCTTATTGTGTCGCCTTATTCTACACTACTGATGCAAAAAATCTCAAAATTCTACACTTACATATTCCGATTTTAATGCACCATTGGAACCAAACTATAGAGTTTTATACTTATTTTGTGCACTTATGCGGCACCATTGGTGCAAAATCAACGATCATGGTATCCTATAGAGATAAACAGTTCCAATGTTAGTTATTCAGTATAGGACGGGGCTGGAATGATGTGATTGGCTGGTTCGCAGTTCAAATTTCTCCATGTATTTTTGATGCCGCATAAATGAAGCCGTAGCACTCGCTGCGCACCATCCGTCTCACTTTACCCTTTACCATCTCTTCTCATCACACTTTATATTTTACGTCCCAGAACAAAAAAACAGTTTTTCGTGCTTCGGTGTCTACCACACCCACCCACCATCATCAATTATTAAGTAAGTTTAACGACAAGATATGTCAGAGCAGTTTTACAACCATGCTCAGGATTTAATGTGACTTAATTTTTGTACAGATTTTCGTCATCTCGAATGGAGAATTTTTGCGACTTTCTAAGTTCGAATAATTAATTAAAAACTGAAAGTTGTTGTGATGCAGATTTACAACCAAATTTATTGCAACAAAAATTGATTTAGCATAAATACAATTTTACTTTAATTTTACAAACATCGAAATAATTTCCCGGTTGCAAAATATTTTATTATAAATAGTAGCAATAATTTTCGTGCCTTGAGTATATAAGGAAAATGGAAACAGTTGAATGTGGTTCTGGTTCTTCTTCAAACTGTAGTGAAACTTATTTCTAATCTTTATCTTCTTGTTCATATAAAGGATAAATTAACCCACCCCCCTTTCGGTGGAGACACAGACAATGGTGAAGACACAAATGGGGTGGAGAGGTCGGTAAAACTCTTTGAGAAATTTCTTGAAGGTGGCTAAAAGTGTTTGCTGCAAACGACAGTTTTAGGTGATACGTTTTCCTTATCGATGTCGAGAATTTTACACCACTGCTGGAACCTTTAAAAAAACTAAAATTAGCTATCAGAGGAAAAAGAATGAGAGAAATGAGTTATTTTGCATCGGAAGTTGTACCTGACGCTTTGGCAGAAAGGCGTAATTACGATTTTCTTGGTTTCAAGAATTATCACAATTAGTACCGCTTTATATTTCGGACCGTGACAAACGACGGTTTATTAAATTCAAATAAATGTTTTGAGCAACTGGATTTCCTGCGAAAAATAACAAGCAATTAGTAATTTGAAACCTGCTTGAAACAAATAACGTGTTTTCACCATATTTATGTGTCTCCACCGTTAATTGTTTATTTTAAGAAGATTTTGAAGAAAGTCACACTGAATTTGAGTACATGAAGGCGAATCAGTAATTAAAATGAACGTGTTTCCACCATATGCATGTGTGTGTCCACCGTTAGTTGCTTTTTTAATTTTTGGAGATAAGAAACTATTATTTTAATATTATGGTTGAACCTGGTAAACTTTACTGAAGTTCCTGAGAATTTCACACTATTCCCGAGTCACGAACAAGGTCTCATAGTAATTGATGAGTCTGTAATTAAACAAAATAACAAGGAAATATTGATGTAACAGTTGCTTGCAATAATGAACGTGTTTCCACCATATTAATGTGTCTCCACCGTTCATTATTCTTTTAATTCTAGAGGAAAGAAACTATTTTTAAGATCAAAATAAAATTTACCTTAAGCGAAGTTTTGAAAGTTTTTTAATAGTCTTGACAAAGTCACATTATTTAAGTACCCTTGTTTGGCCAAATAGGTGAACCTGTAATAAAATTGATACATTTTAGTTATCGACTGCTCATTGGTAGCGAAAGAGTGGGTGTGAAGATATAATTTGAATTTGCTTTGTATAAACGCACACTGATAGATCAGATAAATTGACCGGTGGAGACACGGATCTGGTGGAGGAAGGGGCAATAGGTCACAATATTATATCTGCAATTCACAAAAATAAATTTAGTGGAACTTAATTTCCAACAATGAGCGTGTTTTCACCATACATGATTGTACATATATGTGTATTCACCGTTCATTATATGAGAAACTATTTTTGAATCTTGTAAAACTTTAACGAAGTTTCCGACAATTTCACACTGTTACCAGGTCACGAACAACAACTAATGGTAATTGATGAGTCTATACTTCAATAAAATATAGTGCATTACGAAATACAAGTTCCTTGGTCCTTATTGTTGCAGAATCCAGTTAAAGTTGTTATTTACCAGGCTGGCCGGCGATGACACAGATTTCTGGTGGGGGCACGGCAGAGAGGTCGCAAAATTAATGGATGAAAAATTGTCCTTAGCAGTTACCTGTACCAATAAATCGCAATAAATTAACATCCAAATCACTCGTAAAAATGAACGTGTCACCACCATATTTGTGTCCCCACCGTTCATTGTTGAAAGAAAATAGTAATTCTTTTACTACTTACCGAGAGTTGAAGCTTAGAGCTTAACTTGTGGTGAGTTGAAGCGATTTATGTAATTGAGTGGATGTCAGAAAATTAATTTGTAGGATATTAAATAATCTTTTAATTATTCAGCTTTTCCGAGTTTGGCAGCAAGAATGATGGTAAAGGAGACACCTGATTTTGGTGCCAAGAAAGGAGTGAGATTTCCAAGTAATGGGGAAATTGAGATTGGGAAAAATTGAGTTGTGCCACGGCCCTGTTTTTATGGGCGGATGCCCATAAAAAGCGTCAGCCAGGCACAGCATGTGGAACCCCATTTCCCTATACTGAAACAATAACCCTATCTTCATCCTTATTTAAGTGATCTGTATTCGCTGGTGCAAAATTATATACATCCTAATTTATATTGCAGGGTGAGCTACTTCTAACGTTACAACGGTTTATTTAGTACGTTATGAACTTTATGTCCTTCCTATGACTGTCTGCCCGATCGTTTGTTCGTCCTTCTGTCCGTCCGTTCGTTCGTTTGTTCTTTAGTTTACATATATTCCTAAGCTCCCATCCGTGGTTATCGCTGTTCGAAAATTATGGAAATAACTAAAGGTTTGTGTTGTTGACGATCCGAGAAGTTCACGAAAAGGTCAAAAATGGTCACAACCAGTTGAGAAATATCGAATAGTATTGGAGATGTATTTTGCAATCCTTTCCAAAGTGAACTTAACGCCAGCAAAAAATTTGAAGCCAAATGATTTTCTGAAAATTCACCCCAAAATTGACCCTCGTTCCGTTCATATGACCTGCATCATTCGCCAAACTTAATTGAACCCCAATTTTCTCTAGATTCTGGAAATGACTAAAAATCCCGGACTCCACGATATGAACAAGCTGGGTCAAAAATGGTCACAATCAATTGTAAATATTAATTATCTCATGAGACAAACATATATTTTACAATGTTTGCAAAATGGTAATAAACGCAGTAAATACGAATTTCATGGTCTCAGGACGAGTGATTATACATGAATACATATCTATCATGTGAGACATCAGTTTGAATAAATATGTATTCGATGTTGGCAATTACACCATTCTGATTTCGTCACTTGTTTTCATTCCGTTTTCGAAGGATTGTTTAAGTATTTAGTTCCAGCGATATGTAGAAAATATCATATTGTAATATGCAAGCCAAGAGTATATATGTAAATATATAAATGTGTTCATATTTGTCTTACAGTGTACCTGTTTTAATGCATATTTAGTTTGACAATTTCGTTTTTAATTAAGCCCAAACTAGTTAGTGTTTCTGACTATATGTACAATCCATTTCCTGTAAATATTTTGCACATTTCGCATATTTCCTCATATGTATGTGACACCAATCTCAACATTTTGGAAATTTTGGATCTTTTCAAGTCAAGATCAGAAAATATGCGACAATGTATTCAAAATTTCTGCAAGGCTGATATCGCTACCCAAGTAGAACCGAAACGTTAAATCAACGATGCCAATATTAACGTCTTATGGCCTAAAAGTGTCGTTAATTCAACGTATGGCTTGTCCGCTTTTTTCAGGTTGGAATAACGCTGGTGTAGCGTTATAACTAGGTGTTTTTACGTTGCCTCAACGTTAAATGCTAACGTAATTTTAACGTCGTACAATTTCGTTGAAGTTACGTTAAAACCACGTGGTTAACCTTATTTCAACGTGACTTCAACGTAAAAAAGTGGCCAAGCGACACGTTAAAGTATCATCCAAAGGTTCTAGCTGGGTACATATTTTACTCGAGTGTTTACCACATCATTTTTGACTTACTTTACGTTGGTGACAAAACGTATCCGTAATCATTCCAAAAAAACACACCATTATACTTCGCACCTCCGCGGGTAATGATTTGTCGTCTGCGTTATTTAGAGTGTAACTAAGAGGTGCGGCGAAAACGAATTATGTAAAAAGTTCACCCACTCAACTTACTGATGCAAGCACTTTATTAATTGTATATATAAAATATTTAAGTCATACATATTTACATGCATAACCTTAATAAGTAACCCAATTTAATGTTTAAACACAAATGTAAATATGTGCAAATAGAAAGATGCAAACATTGCACTGCTAAATTTGTCTCATTTTGCACACAGTACCAATTATATTTACGTCATGTTTACGTCAATACGTCAAGATTGGAATTTGTTATTTGATTGAATACCTTTGTATAATAGCTTGAATAAATTATGTTTGTCCTGCAAAATAATTATCTGTGGGTTGGACAGTGACGGATTAGATACTTGAGGCGTGACCAAATTCTAAAAATGAACAATGGCACACGGTGAAGTTATTTGCTTGCTTACCTGAATTGATAAGTAGAAATCGGTATAAATACCGTGGCTTTACCCATATTGAAAGTTAATTCCTCCTCCAGCCCAACCATGAAGCTATTATTTGCCACCCTTCTCCTTTGCGGATTCGCGCTGGCCAGTCCAGGTTTGTAATTATCAATGCGGAGATTGCGAATTAAGGTTTTTACACGCATATTTTAAAACACACGCTAAATTTATCATTGTTGTAAATGAGAAACTTTAAGCGTCTACGTAGGTAAGAGTTTGTTGTACAAAGCCTTAATTCACAAACTCTCTAATATTACCATCGCACCAACATTTAGCAAAATATTATCCTTGTTTCATCCAGCCCCGAAACAAGATCGCTGCACGAACGCCGTCTTTCTCGGAGATTCCATAACCGACGCGTTCGACAACGGAAACGGGGCCCCCGTCTGGCAACAGTTTTACGCTCCGATTGGCGCCATCAACACGGGCGTCGGAGGCGACAGGACGACCACGATTATTGACCGGATTAACAATCAGGGCATCATCGATGGGCTCGGGGCTCACGTTGCCGTCCTAAAAATCGGGACGAACGATCTCTCCGGAGGCGTTCCGGAGACCACGGTGGCCCAAAATATTGGCCAGATCCTCAACCTGATTAAGGACAAGAATCGCGGCGTCAAAATCCTCCTGCTCGGAATCCTGCCGAGAAACGGGGTCGACATTCATAACAGGATTAGAAACGTGAACGCCATCATTCGAGGTTACGCGGATAATTTGAGCGTCTTCTATCTCGATATGGAAGCCCAGTTTCAAGGCGATGCGATCGGAACGGTGCCAACGGATTTGTTTTATGATGGGTTACATCTTACTCTGAGGGGTTATGAGGTCTGGGCGGAGACGATGAATACCCAATTCTTCAATTTGGTGAATAACCCAATTTGTCCGTAAATAATTAAATATGGAATTAAATATGGGATGTAAATAAAATACGGAGATTTGTATTCGAAAGTAATTTCATTAATTACTGAATTTTTTGACGAAGTACTTACATAAATATGAACATAACAGTGTTCCGTATCTTGCGTGTTTGCTAAATTTCTTAGATTGCAAGGCCAGAAAAGTGAGAAATCCAAGATGTAAGAAATATTTTTGCGTCATGCCACGTACCTGCCGCAGGACGTGCAGTTTCTTGCCCCTGAATTTCTAGCTTGAAAAATATGTTAATACCAGAAATTACTATTTGTGCTTCTTCCTTGTAAATGATACATTTATAAAAGCTCATTTCCACTCTTTGGGCCCACCAAAATGTTTAAGTAGTAAAAACATTTATTTATGTAGGCACATACATAACTATTAAGTAACAATAAATATGTAATTGTGTGTCATGTCGCACTTCATATGCACCGTTGTAAAATTATACTTGACAACATGTAATTGTTGATCGACGAACTTGTCTTTGTTTCTCATAAAACAATTGCATAAAGTGTGGTCAGATGTAGATACTCTAATTTTAGCAAAATCAACGTTAAAGATAAATTTTTTTATTAAACTGATCAAGTACTTACATATTTATGACGTAAATATTTACAGAATAGGTCGTACATATAATGTGGTAAGCAGAGCAGCACAAAATTATTGTACACCTTTAACCGATTTGTGCTTTCTTCCACATTATCTATTATTACCCACCAGTCTTCATCATTACCTCGCTCCGAATCGTCATTTCAGCCGTGTTAATGGCATACGATGAACCAGCCGCGTAATACCAAAGCCTGACTAACTCTGGCTTTTCATCGTTGCTTGAATTACTATAATCAGAGTTGGTGAATATCTAAAAAAAAAATACGACAAATTATAGCAATATGTTCAAGTAAAAAGTAATTTTGCCAATAGTACATATGTACGTACATACGAGCAAGAGGAATCGTCATGCCACCAGCCAAAGCTAGTCAAAGTTGGGCAAATGTTCAAAAGTTCGTCATTATCGGCAGAATACGCATTAAATTCCAGTCCACGATTGTAGATGAAGCAATCCCCTGGAAAGGAACAAGTTAGAGGCGATTCAAAGTTGGCAGTGGTTATGGTGAAAAACAGAAGAACGATATGGTATAAATATAGCGCCAAGAAGTTCGGTAGTTTAATTATGGTAATTAACTATATATTGTTACCATACGGTACTAAATCTGGAGTAAACTTTACTCTTTATCAAGTCCACATTACTGTGACTTTAGTATAGTTTACTTAATTCTTAAATTTAAAGTGAATTCACATATTTGTAGAATTCAGACTGCATTCACATTTCATTCGAAAGAACTACATTATTTTTAAAATTTTCGAAATATGTATGTACATACGACGTGGTTAATTTTCTCACCTGCCGTTCCTGAATAGCCATCAATCGTTAACCTGTACTTATCCGAGGCACCAGCAACTTTAAAGACGTCATATATCGCGTATTTCTTTACCCCGGCGAAGTCCTCTACATCCACGCGTAGATGCGTATTCCCTTCCACGGTGAGTTGATGAATTGCTTTCAAACCTGATTAAAGTTAACTTGAATATGTATATGACGGGCCTGGTGGAAATTCGTTTCTTTTTAAAATTTCGAACCAAGCCAAAAATCTCCTTGGTGATTTCCAAATCCATTTTCATACGCTTCCCAATCTTTGTTAAAATCCGTGACCTCACTTTTTGACGGGGTGGGTGAAGACCTTCGCATAATTAGGGTCCCCGGAGTATAACCGAACTGTCGTCGTAGTCTGCTGGGGTTAGACATATTAATTATTTATTAACTAGACACTACATAATTATTATTTTTTATGTATGTCTGAAATTATTAATTTTTGAAATGTTAAAGGTTTTTGAATTTGAAAATAAACCGCTTTGTAAAATTGAGTCCGGTGGGAATTCAATTCTTTTTGGAATAGTTGGGAAAATGTTATAAAATAATTCGCACAGAGAATATTTAAAATTCATGTCTAAAAATATTTGTTGATGAAAAAATGGTTGTGAGTTTATTTAATACTTAAATTTCCGAAGTCTTATTTCCTTATGGTCTCACAATCAGTAGAAAAACGATTGGACTGTTTTGAATTACGTCCATAATAATTATATGCTGCGCTTTGCGTGTAAATTTGACTAAACAATTACGTAATTACCTGCCGATTTCTAGGTTTTGTAGTTCCAACTGTATTGATCGGACTGATGCTTGGATTTGTCTGGAATTAACCGAATTTAATATTTAGTCATTATTTATTAGAATTGTCTTTCCATGAGATCAATTTTCTATTAATCACATTGTTTAGGTATGATTTTGACGATCCAGGTGATGACAAATTTTTAGTCTGCAAAATTTCTGAAGTTGTGTTCCTTATCTCCTCTAAGATTGCAAACTGGTCTTTCTCCACAGCTACGAGTTGTTCAACAAATTTGCATGATTCGTGTAAGCTTGTCTGCAAAACATTAAAAGTTTACGAATCCTTTGGTTTTGTATGTTGCATTTTACATAATGACCAAACATGGAATGCCAAAATTTAAGCCACAATTTAAGCCTCGTTTGAAGAAAGTTTGGAGCATAACATACATACATTCTGAATTTCTGATATGAGTATGCCCAATCTGTAGTCCGATGCTACGAAATCTGGGACCTGAAATATTCAAAAAATGCATTTATTAATTAGAAATTAAATATTAAATGCAAGAAACTTAATGTTTTGGATTTAGAAATGCAAAGTACGCAACCCGTTGTCACATCGGATATGATCGCCAGGCAGCAGGTTCAGAATTTTTAGGCTAGTGTCGGATTGATCCGACCAGATCCGGTTAGGAAAATTTCGGATAAAATAAATATGTAATACAGAGGTCGACGCCGACCAATTTACGGCGGCGGCGGCGCCAGTTTTAGGTGATTTTTCGGCGGCGCGGCGCGGCGTCGCAACGGCAAAGCAAAAGGAAATCAAATTCTTCGCCGGCGACGTCGACCTCTGATGTAATATTATTAATTTGTGCTACATACTTTGATGGACCTCCTTATCCTTCGATTGTTATTTTCATATCCATGATTATCATTTATATCGGTCCTGGACTTCAAATATTCGAAATCTCCTTGTAACCGATCCAGCTTTTTGGATAGCGTTGCCAATTCGTTTTTCAATATTTGGCCAGTTTTGTCCAGCGCTGCAATGTCATGTTTGGTTGGTAGATTGGATAACTTAGTGTCCAACTATGTAAATAAGAGGGACATGAAATTATAATAATTATTCATTTCAGTTAAGGGACCATCCAAAAATTATGTCAGACGAGAGGGGGATCTAATGGTATCGTACCTACATAAATATGTTGCACATTTTTCATGGTTAAGAAATACGCGATTTTTGAATGGCATAATTTATGGATGTACCTTATCTGCCTTAAATAGGTAAAACTCGGAACAAATTCGGCACTCAAAAGTATGTACATACGCGTTCAAAGAGAGCATTCTCGATTTTTGGTACATTCCCATCTTCCAGTTCGAAACCCTCGATCTGACGACATTAACAAAAAATAGGTTAAATTTCCATAATGTAATTTTTTGATTTGTTAAAAATGCAGATACATAAAACAAAACTGCTTAAATTTTGAGTAATGTTCGGTCAAAGAAAATGAGACAAGGGTCACTAAAATTTTCAAAAGTTTTAAAATACGCTAATTTTTAAATCTGATTTGTAGGTCAGATTTTATACCTCTGCGGTTCTACGTATTAACATATTTTTTAACGTTTTTTTTAATTCGTAGATTAACTTTTAACGTGTAAAACGTAATAAACAAAATTGATAATTTTAACATTAATCATAAAATTAATATACTTAATAAACTAGCAAAATTCGCATGGATGGCTCACCGCTTTGCAAGATTGTAATACTTCTCCCAAAATTATTGAGAGAAAGATAAAGTTGGAACAAATCATGGTTATGTGTTACTGAAGAATATTAAGAAATATTGAAAATGTTCTCGTATTTATTACCACCAATCCAGCTGCATGACGTAAACCATTACTTGGAAATGATATTGCAGCTTTGGATTAAAAGAAAACCAGGCATTCTAAATAATCTGGTTTCCTGTGAGGATGTATGTACGTATGTTTGATCAAGTTAAAAATTAAACAAGAATAACATTTAATCTAAGGAGGATTTTATTTACTTGAGCTTAAGATGAATCTGGTGCAGAAGTAGGTATCATACGAGGGACCGTGCATAATTGATGTGATGGAGGTTCAAAAACACATGGATAATTTTAGGTGAAAGTTTTAGTTTTCGGAACATTTCGTCAGAAGTGAGTCAGCTTAAGGAGACAAATTTATTTAGGGTGGAGATTAGGGGTGTCAAATCCATTCCGAATTTTCAAATCCGGATTATCGGTTTTCGTCGTTACCCAAATCCGGATTTGAATTCTTTATTCGTTTCATGCATTTCCTTGATATTTTAACGAATCGGGTAGATGTCAAACAGTTCCATTATCACATTTAATTGCAGTCCCAGATTTTGTTTTAGGTATTTTCAATTTTTTAGATATTTCTAAAGATTTTCTGACCATGTGTGTAGGTTGGTCCTGGGCATATTTTCAAGTGGATGCACCGAAAAAGTGTGAAATCTGAAGAAGTTGAGTGTGTTGATGTCAGATATGAAAAAGAAACTATCTGGGATGAATAACATGCAGTTTTTTTTAATCAACACTTTCCTCAACGATTTGTATCTTAATCGTACATAAATATGAGCTGGTAAATTAACAAAATCCGGATTCTGTTCTGACAAAATCCGGATTTTGAAGTATTAGAAATCCGAAAAATCCGGCTTTTTCGAATTCGGAGTATCAGGATTTGGCAACCTTAGTGGAAAACCCTTGATAAGATCGTATGTCTGCTTGTACTTTTGTTTCTCTGTTGGTCCAATGACTCCTGAAAGCAAGACTTGATATTTTGAATATATTTAGGATCAGTGCGGGCTAGTGTGGCCATGCAGCCAGTGCAGTGATTTTCGGAACACCCGGGTGGTCAGATATTTAATTTAGTTAATTTGTCAGTGCACCCTGGTTGGGTTAGGTTACCGACACCGACACCGACGGTGTCGGTAATGTTTTTATTACCAGAGCGTTGACAACGTGGGATGAGCAGGATTTAGCCTCTGTAGATATATTACCTTCCATGATAAATGGTTTCCTAATCGGTAGAATTATATATTTAGTACCTTCTCCGTTAACAATCAAATACAGAAATTAGTCAGAGTGTCAACATACATTTGTGATATACATATATATGTGGTTAATAAATATTAATTTAGGCATTAATTTATCTAATTTAAATTTATGTACATACCCCACAGTCTAATAATGAGAAATAATTGTGTTAAAATTTTATGTTCAATAAAATCAATAGATTTACAAACATCTATATAAATAAGTATCTAACGATTACGATTTAAACTCCAAAAACCGAACAGTTCGCAATATTTTTGAAGTTGTATGCTGTATGTCCTCCAAGACTGCGAACTGGTCTTTCTCAACGGCGAGGAGTTTATCGACAAAGTTGCATGATTCATTTAAGCTTGTCTGCAAAGCGTAAAAAGAGACGAATATACATGTGTAATATGTATGTACATACATAACATGTAACATGAGTAATATGTCATACTAGCGTATAAGCCCGTCTCCCGCCGAGCGACGGGTTTATTTGATTTTCGTGAAAATTATGCGGTATTGTTCATAATTCCACAGAATTAATTTTGTATTTTATCTGTATTATTAGCTGGAAATGTCGGTTGGCAGCGGAAGTGAAACTTTCACTTCCGTCACGGAAAATTACTTTCACTTCCGTTGCAGACAAACATTTCCAGCTTATAATATAAGATAATATAAGATATAAAATGAATATACATATATGTAATAGCATTTTTTAATAAGTACACACATGTAAATACATTGCAAAAAATCGTCAAAAACTTTTACAGAATGGAAGCTTTGTTACTATCAAGTGCGGAATATGGCTCACCTTCTTAATTTCTGATATGAGAATGCCCAATCGGTAATCTGATGCTACATAATCTGGGACCTTACTCTGTAAAAACTGGGAAGATTATAAAAAACGCATTTATTTATTAATTACATAGAGGCTACATAAATCTTAAACTGACTATGAAATAAACTTTCAAATTTCAGTCGAGAAGCTGGTTTCTAGTGAAAAATACATTTCTTTTTCCAAGAAAGCTTCTGTGTACACTCGCACTCTAAATAATTTGGAGACAAATCGTCACCCGTGGGGGTGCGATGGTGCTCTAATTTTGGGTAATGATTTGTAAGACATTTTGTCACCAGTGGGAAATAAGACAGACGTGACGTGACGTCGTCATTAAAAAATTCGATACGTTGATGTGAACAAAATTAAGACAAAAATACTAAATTTCTTTGTGCAAAGACATCACATGTGTTTGGTACACGAGTGATTGACTTACTTATTTCCCGTTGGTGACAAAATATCTTATAAATCGTTACCCAAAAATAAATCATAGTATGTACCTCCCCAGGTGACGATTTGTCTCCAAATTTTTTAGAGTGTACGCAGAAGCTTTCTTGCAAAAAGAAATATATTTTTCACTCGAAGTCAACCTGTTCACGGAAATTTGTTACCAAAAAAATACGGAAATGTTTAGCACATACTTTGAAAAACCTCCGCGTTCTTCGATTCCCAATTTGTTGCCCATCAGCATTATTATTTTCGGTGCTGGATATTAGATATTGAACATTGCTTTGTAAAAGTTCAAGTTTTTTGGATAGCTTTGCAATTTCATTTTGCATAGTTTTGGCCAGTTCTGCAATGTCATCTTTCGTTGATTGATTGGATAACTTGGTGTCCGACTTGGAGGATATGCAAGTGTGGTGATTAATTATCTATTTCGTTCAAAGCAATTAAAAAAAAACTAAAAACTGAGAAAAACTTCGAAAATACATAGATACAAGCTCAAAGAGATTATTAAGGGGTGAAAGCCCTTTATAAGATCGTTATGTCCGTCTGTCTGTCCGTCCGTCCGTCCGTCCGCCCGTCCGTCTGTCTGTCCGTAGCTCCGATAACTTTTGAACGAAAAGACATAGACACTTGAAATTTTGAACGTAAACTCCTAACGTCAAGGGACAGGACGATTTCGAAGATGGACACTGTGACATCGTCACCTGTGACGATGACGTCGTCACAGTGACGAAAAGTGACGAAAAAGTGTCACGTGTCAGTTTTGACATGTGACACATCATTTTTAACTATTTTTCAATGAGGAATTCGAAAATTCATGTCATTTTGTGTTTGGACGTCACCTGTGACGATGACATCGTCACGGTGACGAAAAGTGACGAAAAAGTGTCACTTGTCAGTTTTGACAATGGACACATCATTTTTAACTATTTTTCAATGTCAAATTCAATGGTGACCTCCATTTTGACCTCAGAGGTCATGTAAAGGTCATAGGACATATCTATTTCAATTTCAACTGAAATTTAACCCCGAATTCAATGGTGACCTCCATTTTGACCTCAGAGGTCATATAAAGGTCACATAAGGGTTATCAACTGTTAAATTTGACACAAATAAGACACAAAAGTCGAAAACACGTCAGAAGTGTCAATCTTAACAAATTTTCGAACAATTTGATATTCACATTGACGTATGACACTCCTTTCACCCCTTGGTTACATGCGTTGTAACGGTTTATTTACGCTTTTTGTTACGTTTCCATCTCCGAATTCCACACCCTCGTCCTGACCGAATTAGAGAAATAAGTTAGTACATATGTAGTAAAATCATTTGTAATATTTGCATAATGTAGAAATCATACTAAATTGGGTAAATTAAATACGTAAATAAGGAACAGAACTGTTTGATTTTAGAATAATTTGATAAATAAGTTTTCATTGGTAAAATTTACACCAAAATTATTATGAGGAACTTACAGCCTTACAAGATTGCAATACTCCTCCAAAAAAGATTAAATGGAAGAAAAAGGTGGACGACATAATTGAAAGGACGTGTTACAAAAGAATATGATGAAGATACTGGAAATGTTCTTGCATTTATTATGCAAATGCAAAGTTCCCCATCCAGCCGCATGACGTAAACCTTGGTTTAATGCATTAAAGGGAAATGGTATGGGAGCTTTGGATAATAAGAAAACCTGCCGATAGTAATCTGGTTTCCTGCGAGGATGTTGAGGTCGAGCATTAAATAACGATGGTAATTTAAAGTAGATTTTCATTCTTTACGTATGTAAGCCGAACGACTTGTCTTTAGATAAAATTTCGCTCGGGTACGATGTTGGTGTCATAATTAGACCTGATAGCAGCCAATTAAGGTTTGAATGAACTCATACAAAAGACGACATATTTATGTTACCCAGATTCCAAGTTTTTGATGAGAAACACGAAAAATCCGCTTTTTAACATTGGTTGGTATTGGGAAAATTCCAAAATTTGGGATGAGATATATTTAAAAAAATCGACTTTTTACCATTGAGTTTTCCACAAATACCTAAACAATTCTCGTATTTGTGAGGCATTTAGATGCCTGGGCAATTTATGCTGCACACATTTCTTCCTAAACTCGTCGAAAAAAAATGAAAAATTGATACGATTCTATTCGTTGGATTAATCCAACAGATACGTAACCAGATAAAAAATAGTAACACACGGATGATTTGTTCTCCAAAGTATGTAGATCTGTATGATACCGCAGTACATACATAAATAATATACTCGACAGATTTGATTATCTACATATGTATGCATTACAAATACATTTCTTGATTGAAACAACACCAGGTAGGGTTTGTGCATGTATATGTATTGCATAAATTTGATGAAAATTTCAAATTGTTACTAATTAAAGGCATTGTTTTTGAAAGTTTAAACTTACAAGATATTCACAAGCTTTGTGTCGAAACGAAAGGCGTTTATTTGTGTAGAAAGTTATGGACAATTGATGAAGAGATTAGAAACTATTGATGTTACGAAATTGGTTCATAATTTGTTTTGGCAAAAATTAAATGGATTCATTATTTGTTAATTAATCCATGTAAGTATTCAGTACGACGATTACTTAATAAGAGTTCATAATCTCTGTGGAAACTTTGAATAATTGCATGCTACGCAAATTCACAACTATTTAGAGTGATATTCAATAGTTTGAAACAATAAAAAGATTTTCGTGTTGCATAAATTGTGGCGTCTAGGTTAAAGTGACAACATATACCGAACTTTGCTATAAATTAAATTTTTCTTGAAAAAATTTGATTTTTTTGAAGATGAGATACTTATCTTCAAGTTATGTCATTCTTGTTCTCGTGATTCATCAAGCTGCATGCAATCACCACACCAACGCGAGTTCCAGGAAGTTGAAGGGCTATCGCGTTAGTGACGGTCAGAACTTGATTTACTTTCACGATCTGGGCTGCGGCGGGACCTTCGTGCCGGACACGTTTCGGAAAGTTTACCGAATTTGCGATGATTGTTACGATCTCTTTAAAGAGCCACAAGTCCATGCTGCTTGCACGTAAGAGGGAGGATTATATCGGCAATATTTAATTTGCATAATAATATGAAGATGCTATTTTAGATTACTTAGAAAGCACCAAAAAATGGGATTTTTATGTATTAAAACAATTCAAAATCTATGTATTGGTCCAGTTTTCACAGGTTTTTGTAGAATTTTACTTTCGAACAATTTAACCAGTACTTTTTTAATAAACGGGATATTCAAAATTTTTTTTGGTAGAACTAGTCATGCTGTGAATTTTTATATTTTACTATTTTTTGTTTATTTATTGGATAATGAGTCAACTCACGCAATCATTGGTAGCATTGCAAAATTTGTAAATTCTTCGAATGTGTAACGTTTTATAAAATTTTAAAAATATTTTTAAACAAAATTATGTATGTAAGTATATGTATAGCTTACAAATTCTTATAATTTTCCTCAAATCGTGGGCGTCCCTTTTTCTGTAAAAGTTTGACCAATTACTGAGTTGGTTACCTCAATGCATATTCCAAAAATTAAAAATTAACAAAAATATGACTGCTCAACAATTTGTGTTAACAGACAAGACTGTTTTGGCCAACAATTCTTCTTCGACTGCATGGGAGCTTTGGGTATCAGTTCGGAGGAGGAAACGTTCAAAGAGTACATTCGAGTCTTGGACGGCCTCCCGCTTTACACGTACATTCGGGCCCCACATGTGACCCATTGGGGAAAGTTTGGAGAGTGGGACACGTGTGCGAAGGGGCAGTACGTGTACGGATTTCAACTCAAGACCGAACCATGGCAGGGAGATGATGGGGATGACTCGGCTTTAAATGGGATCAAGTTATTGTGCTCACCACCGGGTTAGGAAGTACACTCTTAAAAATCCAGTATTAAAATAATACCAAGCGGTATTATTTTACGGTAGTGTTGTTGCTAATAATTTTTGGGAACTTTTCTGATACTGAAACAGTACACGCATATTAAATAATTCAAATCGGTTCCTAAAAATCACAATATGTGCACTCTTAAAAATAATTTGAAATTTTGAAAGTAAGTGCACTCTTAATTCATCATTTATTTAGTAAACTGTGTAAACTATGTAAATCCAGAGGAAAGTTTTCTCCAGGATTTAGTAGAGTTTAATAGCAAGTAATATAGAACTCAGAGTTCATTTACATACATACTTTTCGAATGAATTGCTTCATTTTAAGAGGGCATTCGATTCCCCCAACATATGTAAAATAATTCCGCCAACTCCATCCCATCGCAAATTTTTAGTACTTTCAATATTGACATGTCAAATTCCTGGTTTATATATAAAACAAGTGTTTTAATCAAGAAAAGTTGTCACACTTTTGCCCGAGTGCAAAAAATATATATTTTTTTATGATCCAAGGTTTAAAACTCTGCAATGATTTCATAAGTACACTCAAAATAAAAATTTGTCGAACCAACACCGCCGGTGTCAATATATGACTTAACCGCCTTGGTTACAATGTTGAATCCGAGTTATGATGATTTTGATACCGGTCATTATAATGTTATGACCGGCCGGAAAGAATTCATTACTACTCGGAATCACAGTTGTAACCAAGGCGGTTAAGTCATATATTGACACCGTTTTGTTTTGAGTGTAATTACCAAATGTATACGCGCGTGAAATGTAATTATGTATAGGACCCGTCCGGCCGGCGACGCCGATCTACAGCGCCGTTGGCCCTTGGGGTAAATGGGGGGCTGTAAAAACGTGTGAATTTCCCTTTTTCGCCGTTGGGTTCATCTTAAGATCGGAGCCGCCTCAGGACGACGGCGACGACACCGCGGCCAACAACCTGAGGGTGATTTGTCAAGATAACACCCTTCTAACAGGGGACGGGATGAACTGGGGGGTGTGGACGACGCAGCAAGACTGTCCTCCGGGACTCTGGCTATGTGGGATTCGTACTCAAGTTGAACCTCCGCAGGGGTCAGGTATGATTTTACCCGCGTTTGGAAATATTGAAATAAGATGCGGCTTCGTAAACAGTTATTATGAAGCTTCAATTGGTACAAATCCAATAGTGCATGCATTTCAAATACCTGATAAAACAGTAATATGCAAATTTGTTTTGCCAGTCATGTATGTATAATTAAAAATTGTAGTTTTTCGACAATTAATGCAAGATTTGAAAAATTTGCAGACTTCATTTAATGGCGACCTGAAATTACTATAGACAAATTGATATTATATTCAAAAATTTTCAAAAAAAGTTAAATGCATAATTTCATGGTTTTGCGAACCCTAAACCTTTTTTGCATAGAAAATTTGGAAGCTTCAAATATTCGCGAATTAATTATACTAATGCTTTCATACGTTTTACAGGAGATGACACCACTCTCAACAATGTACACATGAAATGCTGCCGAAGCTATTATTAATATAAATCAGTGAAAATAAAAATATCGAATATCTAAAATGGATGTGAAATTTGATTAAGATGAGAGTATAGCGTAAAATTTTATAGAAAAACGTTATACTAATATTTTTTCATTAGCATGTAAATACAATTCACAAAAAACTCGAAATAAAAGAAATCAACCAAAAATTACGAAACTGGAAATAAATTACTGCAATTAATTTTAATACAATTAAATATTAGTTTGTATACAATTTCTGAAATTTATGGTAATTTAGGGGTCACACTTATGTACATACATATCTATGGTTTTATCATTTATATACGATACTGGACGCCATGAGCCTTACATGTAGAAAAGTCTCTTATTTAAATGTTAAAAGCATACCTAGTCGACAAAAAAATTGGGAAATCCGCAAGTAATACATAATTGAGAAGAGTGGGCCGACCTGTGTACCACTGTCACCCCATCATAATGGGATGCCAATTATACCCTTATCAATGTTTGCACACGGATCGCATATTTCCACGCGTCACAGATCACTTGATTGGACCGATAAAGAGGCATACTTTCCCAATAATAAATTTATTTGCGATCTGATCACCAACGGTGGACCATTTAAAGATGCAGAGTATAATATCTTTCATATTCCTGGTGCTATCCCTGGTCCCTTTTGGACAGGGGGAGACACAAGGTAAAAATTGGAGCACTCTTAAAAATAATATTACCTTTTTAAAAAGTATATAAATTCACTATGAGTTCTATATGAAGTAAACTATACTAAATTCAGGATAAACTTTACTCTATTAAGTTAACGTTAGACCGAACTTAGGATACCTGACTTACGAATACAATTTATAGTGCATTTTCTTTTCAAGGGGATAGCATTATTTTTAATAGCGTAGCCATTTCGTCGATTTGTACTAGAATTTTTTTATGAATCTCGGTCAGAGCGTGTCCTATATAATGTCACCTACGGACCGGATGTGGAACAGTTGCTGGACTTGTACCTGCCCGATAATGATACCATCCAGTGGAACAAGGTCATCCTCATGCTGCACGGTGGCTCCTGGGTCTCTGGGAAGAAGGAGCACATCAACGGGCAGGTGAGAAGGTTCAGAGACCTTCTCCCCGACTATGTCATTGCCAATATGGACTATCGCCTAGGTGAGGGATGTTTTGTACATAATTTTTTATTTGCTTGCATGAATACGAGCCATTTAAAAAAGTATTTGGGCAACTAATTGTTATACATGCACCAAGATACGAGACGCAACCTCTACCTAAAATGTAATGGAGCACAGTATGCAAAGTTCAGAATTTTTTAACGCAGAAAGAGAACATCACGATAGAAAAATTAGAACACTTCTCAAAATCAGACAAAAATTGTAAAATTCATTAACCTCCTATATTCTAAATAATTTCTCAAGTTTGGTTTTCTTGATAATTATGCTACAATTCTTGTTAACATGCTGATAATCAAAATATAAAAATTTTTTTCAATAAATTAAATCTCGTAAATTCCCGCCCCTCTTATACAGGCACCTACCAAAGCCCGGGATTCCCAAAACAGGTGGAAGACGTCCAGATGGCCGTGTCCTTCCTGAAAGCTTCCTTCCCTACGACGTCCCTCTCCTTCACGCTGTTCGGCACCTCGGCCGGCGCCCATATCTCACTCCTTTACGCGTACGGCCGGGATCGCGACATCGGCGACGTGAAAGTTGTCGTGGATCACATTGGCCCCGTTGATTTCATGGACCCCGGGTACTGCGATACCCTCATTGTTCGACCCGTCCTCATGCCCCTCTTCGGAAACCGGTCCAACTGTCAGGAATACCCGGAAACGTGGAGGGAAGCTAGTCCCCTTACGTATGCCGGTGTCGGATCCCCGGCAACGATCGGTTTTTACGGGGATGCCGACCTTGTTGTGCCATTCGGTCAGATGGTGGCGTTGCAAGAGAGGCTGGACCAGGCCGGTGTGCCGAACCAGTTTACCCGTTATGCCGGCGGACATGGGGACGACTGGGCGGCAGAGGATGTTGAAGATATGTGGAGAAAGATAGCGCCCTTTGTGGAGTTACACTCATAAAATATTTTTTTGGGATAATAATTAATGTGTGGGGTAAAATTCGGGTTGCATGTAATATGTTGTGATTAAAAATTTAAAATATGTACTACATATTAGACATTTAAGGAACATTTGAAATTTCAAAAATTTTGATTCAAAATTTAATAAATTACAAGTATTTAAAATTGCATTAAGTTCTGATGTATAAACAATTTGTAGTTGCATATCAATATTTCCGGCAATATTTCCGAGTATACGTGGGTGTTTTATTATTGATTTTCAAAAGGTATGTTCCGCACTGTTTCTGACGAAACTTTTGATGAAATAACAAACTTCAAATACATGTAGGATGCTGTGATTTTTTTCAGTTCTATAGGTTAACATTATCACTAGCAATAGCTCATCAAAATTTACCTCGAAAATATGCCAAAATTTACGACTTGATTTTATTATCATCAGAAAACCGTTTCCCCCTGATGTCTTTCTTTAAGTTTCGAAACGAATAATAATCACCAGGGGTCATGTCTGGACTGTACAGGAGGTGGTTTATCTAGGTGAAGCGATTTCCGTCTGCAGCAGCCCTCGCAAAATGCCAGGTATGAGGTGGGGCTTCGGCGTGCTAAAAATGCACCAACTCTTTTTTTTGACCCCACGTTTTTCTTCAACCAGAGCACACAACTCCTTCGGGATTCCTGCATAGGCTGCCCCATTTATCATAGTATTTTTACCAATAAATGTTATAAGGAGGGGACCTTTGATATCCTTGAAAATGGGAATCATCAATTTTTTGGCAGGTTTTTGCACTTTTGCTTTCATGGGCTGGGGCGACCCCCCGTGCTTCCATTGTATGAATTATTATTTGGTCTCCGGGTCATAATAGTAAACCCAAGTATCATATCCAACTATTAAAATATGAATCAGGTTCCAGGTTTCATTTGAAAGGGCAAAACTTTCATTCCAAAAGTCGATTCGATCCTGTTTTTGAGATGCCGAAAGCAATTTTAGTACACAACGGGAGGAAGCCATTTTCATACCGAAGTCTTCAGTTAACATGGAACAAATTGCTGGTTTTGGAACACCCATCTCATCTGCTAAATAGGACAGTTTCAATCGCGGATCTCTCATTATTGGTTCCTCTAGTTTCCGGAGCCTTTCTGTGGGAGAAACAGATTTTGGGCGTCCTAGCGGCTTTTTGTCCGAGACCTCTTTTCGCCATCATTTGAAATTATTGACCCAATTGAATTTGTGTTTTGTGTTTAGCAGTTTTCATTGTAAATTTTAAGCATACGATCATAAATCGGCGACACCGATTACCCCTCCAGCGTTAAAAATTAAATTACATACGATATTTAATTTGCAAATCTGACATTTTTTCCGTCGAGGTAAAGTTTGATGATTGATTGCTAGTGTTAATGTTAACCTAAAGATCTGAAAAAAATCACAGGATCCTAAATGTATCCGAAGTTTGTTATTTCATCAAAATTCTGGCCAGAAACAATGCGGAACATACCTTTTGAAAATCAATAATAAAACACCTACGTATACATACACACATATGTATCTACTCCTTCATTGGAGTCGATACTTTTAAACTTTTAATTTCGAAATAAATTAACAAAATAATTTTAGTGAGTGAGTGAATTAAAAACCGAAGCCTACATATAACGCAAATGTACGGCAAGCAAAATTCCATAAATTCTTAAGTGTCTCCAGAATACGCAAATAAGTCAAAGTACTTCATGAGTTGATGTATACGTACAAACACAATACATAGGAGGTTCATTTCGTTTGTTAATTTAAAATATGCTGCAGAACTATGATAGCAACTGAAGAATGACAAAAACAAAAATGGGCCTACTTCGAAAGATAAGTATTTGTTAATTCTTCAGAAGATCCGTGTGACCCATATAAATATGTTCAAAGATAAATATTTGCATACAATGGAAAGGTTCAATCAAGTAGAAATGTGTACGTGCCGTCATTCCTAACAATTAAACTTTAACACAATAAATAGTTCAGATGATCTGTATAACCCAGACACATATTTCATTTGTATAACAACACGTAATAGTGAATAACTTGCTGCTTGTGGATTGAACCAACAGAATGTATATATGTAGGTGTTTATGCTAATATTTATATAACGTGAAGTTCGAAGAAAACTTAGATAATTTAATCGCAGCTGCACAACTATTATCTACAAATAATCAATCAGTTAAGAATATTTATAAAGCTAATTCATTTATGATACGCTTCGACTTTAAAATTCGAATAAATTACATATGTACATAGGTGTGCATGAACCCGTTGGAAGCGGGTAGAATTTATTTTATAAAGATTGCCGGGCCAGGAAATCATAACTATGGATTTTTCCTACCTGAACAAGGCGCAAACTAATTTAATAACAAAAAACCTACTCCAAGCAACTTTGCGGGGCCTTTTAAGATAGCATTAATACCATCTTGGTAGTTAATGGCAACACATTTGGATGGAAATGACCCCCACCGGCCACTTGGCCGATTATGCCCATCTCCGAACTCATCCTTACTTTTTACCCGAAGATAAAGCATGCAAAATTTCAAGTCGATAGCTTTTGTTTAAAGGGAGTTATCGTGCCTACAGACGGACGGACAGACAGACATCTTGACAAATCTATAAGGCCATCTTAAAAGGCCTAAAACCACGCCTATTTGGCTATATCGCCGCACGAGTTGCGCGGTTTCGCCGTTACGGTTAGCCAATGTTGATCTCCAGTCCGAGTCCGCGCGTATTTGGGTTAACATTCTGTCGGATCTAATGCAAGTTAAATTTTGGCTCATGAGGGAGCTTTGGATTGACGTGAATATGCTGGTCTTTCGGATTTTTTAAAAACGCACACCTATGTGTATGTTTCTGAGCTGGTTTGGCAGCCTGTAATTTGCACAGGTTCCAAACCAATTATTCGCCTCACGAGCTGTTGGCGTGTTTGATGTTATACTCAAGGTCGATACAAGAAAACTCCCAAAGTTTTTCAAGATCTGAAAAATGGCAACTTACAAAATTGTCATGGTTCGTCACGGAGAGAGTGAGTGGAACCAAAGGAATTTATTTTGTGGGTGGTACGATGCTAAGCTTTCAGTAAAAGGTGGGTGGCATTTATTGTAATAATCATTTCATATAAGTTTAATTTGGTCAGTGTAATGGGACCAGGTTTTGGCAAAATACTTTTCAAGATACAGTCAATGGAACAAGTATTGGCAACACCCACACAAGCTAAATAAAATTGGCTATAACTTTGGCATACATTATCAAATTAGCATGAAAATTTGTACACATTTAGCAAATCTAATGTAGTGTACGATTATAATCATGTTTCTGATTTAAATCTAGTAAACATAACACAATACTGATTTTTACCCCAACGAGTCAGATGAAAACCTGCAAAAAGTATTGGCAACATGTGGCCAAATTAATTACTCGAAACAATTTTCTTAACCATCTTCCACATTTCGTTACGGTAAGTCAATTAGGTGACACAATATGAGGTTAGCTACATTTTAAGTCTACAGTTGTGTTGTCTGGAGCCAAAATGGCGACACCAAACGAGCTGTATTTGGCGCGGCGAGAAATAATCATGTCTCTTGCACAAAAAAGCTTTACTATCGAAAAATCAATAAGAAAACATACTTTTCCATATTTACTTTTGAATACGTAATAAAGAAATATAAAATGACAATCTCAGTTTCTACTTTGCCATGATTCGGAAGAAAAAAGTCATCTACGCCTAAAACCTAAGGATGCCTCAAGCAACGAACCACTAGAGAGCGGAAGATTTCAGCTTCCAAATCCATGTTAAATTGGAGTATCAACTGTAGGGTCAACATATCATACAATCTGGTGATCAATCAAAAATTATGCCTTGGGGTTTCAGGGTCCAGAAGCCCGACCGACGCGAGAGTCCCCAAAGCGAACCACCTCAATAAATCGGAATGGGCTAAATATCACCCTAAATATAGTTCCGATCAATGAAAAAGGGCCTACTGGTCCGACATAGGCATATTTTACTTATTCGGAGCTCATTAATTGGTTCAAGTCTGGCGGATGCAATAAAAGACTCAGAAATGCTAAAACGTTCGTATGGCAGTTTAACACATAGGTGGATCGATTATGGTTTGGGGTTAAATGACTAGGAGGCGGCGTGTTTACCTGGTCATTATCGATAAAATTATGACCAGGAAGGTGTTGTCAATCATTCCAAACGATAATTTGAAATCATTTAACAAAAACCTGACCCAGGAAAAAATTTCATATTCCAAAAATGCAGTGACCCCAAACATGTAGCCAAATTAACGATGCAAGTTTTCTGAGACCGAAAAGGTTAAGATTCTTTCGTTGGCTGCACAGTCTCCTGATGTGATTCTGATTGTCCGGGTTGAGAAAAGAGAGACCGATGGGAAACCACTAGTCGAAAAACGAGCTTGTCAAAAGTTTAAAAGAAGTGTGGGCAGCCATTTAAAAAAACGTTATATAGGAACTTGTCGAATAAATTCCACAGCCTAGTTCTGCTCTTATTGTGTCGAGGGGAGGTGCCACGTAATACTAGAAGCACTTTGCCGCAGTAAAATTGGCGTTTCGTTGCTCTATGATTTTTTAAGTTAGAGGGTGCCAATACTTTTTGTGGGTTAATTTCACAAATTTTCCAGCAAATTATTTAAAAACTGCGTTAATCTAATTTTAATCAGTAAAACATGATTATAATCGAAAACTACATTAGATTTGCTAAATGCGTACAAATTTTCATGCTAATTTGATAATGCATGCCAAAGTTATAGCCAATTTTATTTAGCTTGTGTGGGTGTTGCCAAGACTTGTTCCATTGACTGTACATGGTACAAAATGGTAGATTCGAAATATTACCTTTTATCCTCGTAATTAGGCCAAAGAAGCATCCTGTGCCCTTTATTTTTGTATCCTTGAAGAATGGACTCTTGAGCATATATTGCTCCAAGTCCTACCTTGGAAGTGATGATTCATATTTATTTATACGTAGATAAAATGTTAGTTTGTAGTGTGATGAGGGTTCATTTTGAGCATATATTGTATCTACATATGTATGGATGGATGCCTGCCAGACATGTATCTTATGATACATATCTTATATCTATGTTGCAACTTGACTTCGCTATTTTAATGAATTTTAAGGAAAGCACTTATCTTGTTTCTTAGTACTTAAATAATAAGTATTTTACAACTTGTATCCTATGTCTCGTGGCAGAAAGTATCTCAATTTCAATTTTCTACAGGGATTGAAGAGGCCAAAGCTGCCGGTCACGCCCTCAAAGATGCCGGCTATACATTTGATGTAGCTCACACTTCGCAGCTTACCCGTGCCCACATCACCCTGGCTTCCATCCTGGCCGAAATTGGACAGGCGGATCTGCCCACGCATAAAACCTGGCGCCTCAACGAGCGACATTACGGAGGATTGACTGGACTCAATAAGGCCGAAACTGTTAAGAAATATGGAGAAGAGCAGGTCGCCTTTCTCATCCTGATTGACAGTTTTTTGACCTTGACATGTTATCAAATTTTAAAATGTAATGATGAAGGTTCAAATTTGGCGTCGCTCTTTCAACGTGCCCCCGCCCCCTATTACGGAGGAGAATAAATACTATAGGGGCATCGTGGACGACGACCGTTATTCGAAAGGCCCCAAGGGGGACGAATTTCCAACTTTTGAGACGCTTAAGTTAACCATCGATCGAACACTACCATATTGGAATGATGTCATTTTGCCCCAAATTAAGGTATAGTGAATGAATAAGAAAACAGTGAAAAGCGATTATCAACCTCGCAGAGTTTTATGCATGGAATAAATGCAGGATTTTCTGTGTATTAAAATCTGCTAGGTTAAGTAATGCTCCGTGCTTATCTCACTATGACTTATTCTATTAGGAGAGCAAGCAAATCTTAATTGTCGCTCATGGGACGTCGCTGCGAGGTTTAGTTAAGCACCTGAATGGGATGAGTGACCAAGCCATCATGGGAATCAACCTCCCTACAGGAGTCCCCTTCGTGTACGAGCTGGACGAATACTTGAAGCCCGTCGTGTCCATGAGGTTCTTGGGGGATGAGGAAACCGTTGAGAAAGCTATGGCCATTGTGACTGGCCAGTTGAAGACAAAATAAATTCAGACTATATTGATAAAATTACTCAGTCAATTCCAGTTTACTTATTTAATTATATTTTCGGTCAGATAAATTGAGTGAGTATTGAGTCGGTCGCCATGTGTGAAGTCTATTATTATTTTTTGATAGAAATATTAATAAATAGTTCCGTGTTTTTGCCAAAATCAAGCTATTTCTCAGCTTAGTATCACAACGGCTAGTGAGACTTTGTTTTAAAAGCTGTCTTACTTCTTTGCCGATCCCAGTGCAAATCTGTGATCGCTAGTTATGTCGTGATTTCAACCGAAATCTTGAGCAGATCCTCTAGTGGGAAACCGAACTACCATAAATATTACTCATCAACTAGTAAACCTTTCAAAAACAAATTTTTTTCATCAAATAAATTTTACTAGACCGGTCTTAACTGATTAGTGTTATTTGCACAATGAATCATGAATATAATATCAGTCAACCGTATTTTCTGTGGTATCTTGGATGCACAGACAGAAGTATTACACAAGGCTTGACACCGGCGAAAAAAACTCTATACAAATTTTTACCTTCCAAAATTAACGCGAAGCAGGACGCATAAAAGGGATTTTATTGTCACTCTAATATTTATCTGGGAATTCTTGTTTGTAATATTAAAATAAGAGCAATATGTACTATGGTATATGCATTGAATAAAACAAAAATTGTCTATATTAATGTTTTTTGCGAAATATATTTTCTAACTAGATATTTTGCTTATGGTCGGCAAGGAATATTTAGTACCAATATAAAAATAATAAGCAACTTGGGCATCTCAAATCATGTCATCGTCAAATTGAAAACTAATTAGGCCAACACAGTATTAGCGTTTAACTTAGAAATTAAGCGACAAATTTAACTTTCAAGAATTTCCTGTTGAAATAAACTTTCTTCATATTCAAAGTAATTTAATAACAATCGTTGCATTAGCTTTCACCCTTGACATTTAATAACCTCAGTTTTTATTTGAATTGCATTTTGCCACCGTACATACCAGAATCCTGTTGAAAATATTTCTGGCAGCTCACATTTCTGCAAAAAATGACATTACAAAATAACTGTATGTACTTGTATTGCAGGTATGTTTGTACGACTACATTTAGATCCCAACACAAAAGGTATTTCAAAGGTATTAACCGATACAGTGGAAACAACCTTTAAAACCTATGAGCCATAGGATTATGGCACGGATTAGATTGTTTGTTATCCGATTCATAAGAAATTTGAAAAGAAAAATAGTGATTCCCCCTCATACTCCGCTCGACGCTTTACGACGTTTCGCTAAAGTTGGTGCCTTCGTCTACCCACAACACATAAGTTGGTCTAAGGATGAATGTGAGCCATACCGAACGGCGAGTACAAAAGCAATCCCAGCTGATCTAATGGCGGGATTGGTAGTCCTGGCAAGCGTGCACTTAACATGGCTAGGAGTTCGAGAGATAGTTTCCTTCAAGAAAGATCCTGACCTTCAAGATAGCACAGGACTGACCGGCCTTATACTGATCATTGTCGAATGTTCGGGATTAGCCGCATCGGCAGCAAGTATGAGCTACGCATGTAATGCCTCCAGTATTTCACGGGGAATTCGGGAATTAAAGGCGAAATATGGGATTCCAAATGGTGAGCATATTTATTTTTAAGAGGCCAAAGAGTACATGACATTTTTATGTGATTATGTAACTTTAATATCTTCAGGAAATCAGATCAAAAAATTAGATCTCATTGGATTCTACTTGAACAGCGTCGTCGTATCAATCGTTTTTATTCCTATCGCGTTTAGCCTCCTGAATCTCTACTTTCGCATAAATGACCCTATTTTCCTATCTTTGCGAAGTGTTAGCATTTTTTCGCCTGTAGCCAAATTGATAATAAGGGTAGTCGCCCTTCCTTTACTAATCCTGCATTGTTCGATCATGAACTTTGGTACGATTATTATATTGTCCAATGTAGCGTTAATGTTTCTGGATAAGTTGGCTATTCCAAAACCTAGCTCCAATTTAGAAAAACAAGGGCGTTATTTAGATCGATACCGCGAACTTCAAATCATTGCAGTTATTCTAAACCACGGGTATTACCACGTGATGCCGGTCGGGTTAGGGTGCGCGTTTCTGTGTTCGGTGTCCACGTCATACATGGTTATAAAATTTGTGTCACTTATCCCACTAGTGTCTCTAATTCCAGCGGCAACTATTGTGCTGTGTTTGGTTGGAATGTCGCATTTCGGACTTGCTTTATTGGTAGATATTGAAAAGAGTTCGGCCGAATATGTCAGATATTGGAGCTCTGAGAAAGGTTATAATCCACACTGGGGAAGGAAATTGAGAAGTTATCGACGTATTAGGTTTACCCACGTGGGGAACGAAATTAGAGGTTGATGACCAGCGTGGAAATCGACCATTAACGGTAGGTAGCATCAGAAAAAGCAAAGTAAATTCTGATACATTCTAAAAATAGGAGTAGATTATTTATATCAATTCTATTATTAGACGCTAGATTTTTACTTGACAAAGTCAATGGGCCTTCATGAAATTCAAATCAAACAAACGGATACAACAGAATTCTACACAAATTCTCTAGAATACGTACCAAGCATGTAGTGAAACAGTAATACATGGACGACGTACTAACATGTTTAAAAATATATCAGTAGAGGTCACTAAAGCTAAAAACCAATTAATTAGGTCAACATGGTAGATACATACATACCAAACTTCGTCATCACATTACTAATTAAATTTGTCTTAATAATTATGGCATGTTCAACAACCTTTCTTCATTTTCAATGTTAAAAATATTTTAAACGAATCCATTCGTAACTTTGATCATTGGCATTTGTATTCAGCATTGGAATGCTACAATCTAGGTTAAATATAATTGGTTCAATACCTATAAATATATACTATCCAAATTCAAACATTTCTATGTAGGTTAAAATAAAGTGATGAAAAACTGTAGAATAGAGCGTCTCAGAATAATGATACTTATTAAGTTATCGATCATTAGACTAATGAATAGTTTAAGAAGTAAAATTGTGATTCCGTTTCACACTCCGTTTGATGCATTACGGCGCTACGCAAAAGTTAGTGCCTACGGTTATCCACAGCACATAAGCTGGTCGAAAGATCAATGCGAGCCGTACCCAACGGAGGGGATAAAGGCTATTCCAGCGTATCTCGTGGCCGGAGTTGTAGTCTTGGCCAGTGTGCATGTAACTTGGATAGGAGTTCGAAAGGTTGTTTCCTTCCAGAAAGATCCCGAGCTTCAAGACAGTACTGGGCTGACTGGCCTTGTACTGATTATGTTCCAATGTTCAGCAACGGCCGCCGCAGCAGCAAGTTTGACCTACGCATTTAATGCGAACATAATTTCACGGGGATTTCGGGAATTACAGAGGGTGACTAGGACGGATGGACGAATGAGAGGAAGAATTGGATCTAAAAATTATGCAGGCGAGAATATAATATGCTTAGGCGTAAAGTATGATGTTCTCATGAAATTTATTATTTAATATTATTATCTTTAGTAAATGTTTTTAAACAAAGATCTCTAAAATTGATTTAGTCTGACGAATTTAAAATGTTTCTTAAATGTTTTCTTAAATGTTAAGTACAGTTTTTTATTGCTAAGCGTGATAATGTAAAAATTGTTTATCGGCTTATTTTTTCGGCACAAAAAAATCTCGAAGATAGTAAGCCAATTTTTAAAACAAATTTAAAACAAATACCCCATAGTATTTTCATACTCTAGAATACTATAGAACCATTTACAATTTTATTTGAAAGCTGTGGAACATTCTAAATATTTCGAGACTAATAATGGAATTCCCTTTTCAATATCCCTAGGGCCTCATACCCGTCAATTTGATTTTATAGGAGCCTACCTGAACAGCGTCGTAGTATCAATTTCCTGTCTTCCAATCGCATCTGGCATCCTGAATCTCATTGTTCCTCTACGTTACCCTGATTCGCTAGTATTACGAAGCGTTGGCATTTTACCTCCTGTAACAAAAATGGTTATAAGCCTAGTCGCCGTTCTCTTATTAGCGTGGCATTGTATTATCATGAACTTTGGCGCGATTATTATACTGTCCAATGTAGCGTTGATGTGTCACAGCCCGTTAGCCGTTTCAAAATTTAGCACAAATTTGGACTTGGAAATAGGTTTTTTATACAGATACCCGGTACTTGAAATAATTGTAGCTATACTAAATGAAGGATATTGTTGCATGATACCGGTTGAGTTAGGGTGTGCTTTTCTGTAGGCTCTGTCAGGGTCGTCCATATGGAAGCTGTATGTTCTGGATGTTAACGGTACAAATCTATCACCACATATAATTTTCCGCGCACTTCTTTACGAGAGGAAGTTTTAATTTTACTGAATAACTGCAAATATCTGTCTGTATTTTTTAAAATTTGGTTTGAATTTTTTCTTTACAAACTCCCATTTGAAAGTTCGGGGCGACAACTCGATAAGATGTTGAAAGCATTGTCGAATCCGTTGGTAAGTAGATTATGTTCCACTTCCAAATTTGCGTAATCCGAATCTAACACATTTTAATTTCTACTTCATAGATTCTCGATCACATCTTTGCCCAACTGAAACTCTCCGATTTGAAAACGTGTCGCCTCGTGTCGCGAGTGGGGCGACGTCGGCGCGGGTGTCCTAGGAAAGCGGACACTTCTCAATGTCAACCAGCTTTTCCGCTATGACGGGTCAAACTTACACCAGATGACCTCAGTGAACGACAAGCTGAAGCGACGCATCAGAATCTTTGGCGTTTTCCCACCCTTCATTCCAGCAAACAAGACGATTGACCTATTCAATAATATAATAACCAGCATCCCAAACTTATCAAAGTCCACTTGCGAAATCCATTTTTTCGTAACCCAGAATAAATTTGCCATCGCGTTCCTTAATTGGATAGCAGGCTTTAGCACCACAAACGTCCAACACGTGGCCATCTCTATCTCACAAGAACCCGGAATTCGGGAGCAGGAAGATCAAATTGAAGAGTATCCTAAACTTCCGATTATAGCTAATTTGACCTCAATCACATTCCAACCTTATCGACGCGGTCAAATAGAGGGCCCCCACGGGTTGGAAACCTTCTTACAAGTATTGATCGATTCGGCACCCAATTTGACCTCTTTGAATGTCTGCGGAACATTCTGTCCGAATTTGGCAGGATGTAAAAAACTCAATGTTTTGATATTTCATTTCAAACAATTTCCTCGTATTGGTCCAGCTACTCGTCAATTTAACTTGGCCACCATAATAGAGATGCTAGCACAGGTTAAGGATTCCTTGACCGAGATGACATTACACTATGACGGGAACAGCATTTTCAACAGAGCACAGGTAACTTTTTAAACTCTGTAAGCGTGTATGTAGGGATTATGTATGTAAGTATATACTTATATATGTGATTAGGGCCTATGTAGATATGTATGTTTGTCCTGCATTTCTTGAACTTGCATATCTACGTATAAGTATCTGCAAAAAAAAATTTGCAGCTTTGAGGTACGTACTTTATGTATTTATTATGCTTATTTACAGAGCAATTTACAGAATAATTTACTGAGCACGATACGTGACACTCCTGTAATGTCGGAACTTTCCTCTCTCACAATTATTAGCATAAATTGGTTTTCAATCCATAATTTCTTTGACGAGTATCACCTACCAAAATTAAAAAATCTCAACCTTGAAAAAACCTATTTGGAATATAGCTTGTTAAACCATCTAAATGTGTGGCAACGACATCGAGGAGTTCAATCCCTCACTGTAAAAGCTATCGATATTGATAACACGCACAGAGAATTTTCGAGAAAAATCGCCCAATTATTCCCCACCATTAAAAAATTTTACTTCACGATTGGCTTCTTCGCCGATTATTTAGTCAATGAAATTTCTCCGATGATGGAACCGTTCCAAGTGTGGGATCTAGAAGAGAGCAAAGTTGTCGTTCATTATGCGAAAAAATCCTCCTTGTTGGTAGAATGCCTGAAAAGTATGGCAAAGTGGAAAGGTAGCAATTTTACAGAAAATGCTAAACTGCAAAATTATTAGCGAAAATATGTGTGAATTTTAATTATGTATTTATTTCAGGCGTTAAACGTCTCCACTTCGAGAATACTCAAGTAAATTACGACGATTTTTCCCCCAGAATTGAAGATCTCGTCAGATACGGTAGAGGATTGAAGAGCGTGGAGATTTCTGGGTATTATGGGATTAAGGTATGCCACCAACTAAATTAAATTGATGAGTTAGTAATTATTCCTACGTCCTAGGATCAAGAAGTTGTGGAATTAATGCGACCAATTTTTGATGCCAGTGATGCACCGATTAAGCTCACGGGAGGTGTGGGGCGCTGTATTTAAGCTTTAAATCCTGTTTTTATTATGTAGATAATTATCATTTATAAGGCTGTGCACAATAAATTCGTAGGTATAAATTGAGCTTATTAATAAATAAATGTGGACAGATTTGTTAGTACTGATTTATAAATTCAGAGTATTTTAACAATCTGCGAAAAGATTAATGATCAAAACAGGAAACATGAGTTTTAATTAATCTGGTGAATTTTTCAGCCCGATGAGATCTATGTATACCCATTTGTGTACTTGAAATAGTTCGAGGGCTTGAGAAGCGAACGTGTCAATAAACCATGTCTCCTTTCAAAAAGTTATTCATTGTCAAAGTAACACTGTAGTGAAAACACAGACATTTTTTGAACACCATCAGTCTTCCGTATCTACTTTAGGTATTTTGAAATTAGAAACTCTTGGAACTTATAAGGATTTAATCCGAAATATATATATATATTTCGGATTAAATCCCAATAATGACAGTTTTTAGATTTTGAACAAAAAACCTAACAACAAATTCATCCACGTAACAGATCAGGTTTAATTTGTATTTGTACAAAATTAACACGTACTAGAAAAGTAAACTACTACTTGTAAAGTGCTAAAATTATTATTTTTAATTGTAGAAGTATTGAGCTTAAATATTTAGCGTCGGAAATAATTTAACAAGATTTGTTAAGCTCGAACTATTTCCGTAGTAGGTCCGCAATGTATGAGGCTGAGATTACGCTTTTTGATGTAAAAAAAGTACCAAAAATGTAGTAACACTGGGGTCAAAAAAGGGATTTGGACCGGCAGAGTATCGATCTCTGTACCTCTCATATGCTAAGCGAGCGCTCTACCATCTGAGCTACGGGCTCTTCTTGATAAGTCCAAATAAACAAGAAACATTTATTTTTACACGATGTTAGAAGGGTTATTGAGTTTAAAATCGAAAGTTGCATAGTCGATAATAAACAACATTTGCTTGGGCGTGTCACTGTGTGCATAGTTGAGTTAAAAGTAATCTACTTCGATCGATTCAAGTGGACGAAGAGAAGGAGTGATCCCATTGATAAAACATGATCCGCATCTACACATAGGACAGTGCAAGTTGAATGTCGTCAAATCACATATTTGAAATGAAACAAGTATTGTTTAGTTATAAATAACCTCGCTAGTGATGAATATGGACCCAAAACACTTCTTGTTTTTATAATTTCAACGACCTAACACATGAAAGGCCCCCAGTGGCATTAGTTATGAAAAAGTATGCATCTCCAATATGATTTTGTGATGATGCTGCAACAGAAGTGGAAGAAGTCGTTGGGCAAATATTATTAAATGTTTTCATTGAATAAAGTTTTAAACTCGAAATAGGTTTGCCAATTAAATTGTTAACTGTTTGACGGCCTGCTATAATATTATGAAACAATTTATTCACTCCAGTGGCATGTGTTCATTACGGCGCGGATGGATGTATAACATCTAGCATTATGTAATAAGGAGACTAGTCTATTAACAATTTTAACGTATAGATAATGTAAAGTACCGCCAATCAAAAAAATGCGTACTTTGAGGCCATACATTTTACCCCGTATTAGCAAAAAAACGTACTAAAATTACTTAATTGGCGAAATCTTACGCTTAGAAAAACAACACATCGCCCAGGAAATTTTGCTCCAAAAACCCGGATGCCTAAGGTTTCCATCGTACTAAATTATTTTCCCATGAAAAAGTCTTCCAAAGTAATTTCTCTGTTTTTTACGTCAATCCCCGTCATCACACGATTTATTATTTTAAATATATGTACATATCTAAACACTACCTAACTTTGGTATATCACATAATTTACGGTATTTCTTTCCTGATGATGCCCGCATCGTTGGGGTCGGCACCCTTATATTGCTTTAGTCTTGCCTTCAGTCTTTCCAAAACTCCGCTGGATTTATTTAGCTCGACCTCATTACTTTTAACCGCCACGTTTTCAAAGATATGTCTCATGAGCTGTTCCACCCGTTCCGGATCCTGCACTAGTTCTACTGGAGAACTATAATTCACAGAAATTTGCACGCTCCTAAATCCCCTACTGTAAAAGATTAAATCTTGAATCCACGGACAAAAATCTTTGTATCTGGTCCAAGCTAATATGAAATGGACACGTTTAACACCTGGAAAGCAATTCCAATCAAAATGTGAAGTTTGCAAATTTTGATTTGTTTTTCAATTGTTACCCTTCCAATTCGCCATATTTTTTAGGAGTTCCACCACCAAGGTGGTTTCTTTAGCTCTTTTAGCAACAACTGTTACTTCCTCCAGATCCCAAATTTCGAACGGTGACATCCTCGATTTGATTTTATCTAGTAACTTTTCCGCATTGAGCGAAATGGTGAAATTGAATTTCTTAATGCCAGGAAATAATTGCACAATCATTGTTGAGAACTCTTCGTGCGTGTCGGGCCAATTGCGAGCGTCGACGGTGAGAGATTTAACTCCTCGGTGTGGCCTCCACAGATTGATGTCAGTTAACAAGTTACACTCTCCCCTATTGGTAATTGTGAAGTTTTGTAATTTTGGGAGATAATATTCCCCAAAACAATCGTGGATTGTGAGCAGATTAACGTCAAGAAAGGCGATGGATGAAAGTTTTGCCAAAACGGGAAAGGAAAGATTCCGTTCCTGTAAATTATAAAGTAAGTATAATCATATGTTACGAATATATATGTGGATTTCAGCAATTGTCGTAAGAAAAGTTTTCGAAACTAAATATGGGAAGAAATGTTTTTTTCCCACGTACAGATAACTTCGTACGGAAGTGCAAGAAATGCGAGAGGTAAGGTTGTGGGCCAAATTGCAGATAAGCGTACACTGTTATTATGAATGTTTAAGCGAATTTTTAGCGAATTTCTAGTATTGCGAGGCAGGTGAAAAAAAAACAAATAGTAGTTATGGTTTTACCTCTGTAACAATGTTTCTCCCGCTGCAGTGAAATTTGAAGCGGATCAAGGAATCCTTAACCTGTGCTAACATCCTTGTTAAAGCGGCCAAATCCAATTTACTAGGAGTTCCCGCATGCCACCGACTCAAATTAAATTCCAGAACGTTCAGTTTTTTTGATCGTTCCAAGTTTGGATAAAATGTTCCCAAAACATTCAAAGAAGTCAAATTTGGCGCCGAATCGATCAAAGCTTGTAGGAAGGTTTCATACACGGGGTGACCGTCTTCTAGACGGTGTTGACCAGGCTGGAACTTGATCGACGTCAAATTAGCTTGAACCAGAAGTTGTGGATACTCTGAAGCTAGATGATCAACAGTTAGGGTTCTTAAGTGTGGACAAAAGAAGATGGAAACGTGCTGAATGTTTGTGGGCTTAAGGAGTGCCATCCGCTCAAGGAATGCGACGGCAAACTTCCTCTGGGTAACGTGAAACTTGATTTCGTTTGTTACTTGGGGGATTTGGGTTATCATTTGGGTGAAGACCTCGACACTCGTATCGCCAGGAATGAATGGTTGAGAAACACCGAAGATTAAGAGGCGGCGTTTCAACTTTTCGTTCACGCAGGTCATTTGGCTTAAGTTTGACCCGTCATAGCAGAACAGTTGGTTGATTATGAGATAGGCACGTTTTCCTAATAAGCTGGCTCCGACATCGTCCCACTCACGGCATACGAGACGAGATGTTTTCAAGTCGGGAAGGCTGAGATGTTCTAAAATTTTGTTGAGAATCTATGCAGCACAAGTTCAAAATTACTTTATTCGGCCGAAGTACGAAAAATGATGAAGAATGAAGTGACGTGTTAGTTACTGACCACCGGATTCTTTAAGGCGATCAACATGTTAAGCGGTCAGATTTGCTGTGGCGATCTTTCAAGCCTCGAATTAAACAAAATATTGATGCAATATTTAATCACAGTCAAATATGGAATTCAGAGTGAATTTACTTTAAGGAAACGAACCTTAACAGTGTTGAAATTTCGAGTTACTTACTGAAATATGCCGAGCTGGATCGATTTGATGGAAATGCTAACGCACATATGTGGGAAGATAATGCGCACAATAAACCGTACATATTTACATACACTCGTATACCATTCTGTCTCTACTCATTTTATTTTGGCTTTATCTCTGACGCAAATGCATTACTGGAAATCAACAAAATTGTTGGTCAACTTTATTATCAGGTAGCTTAAAGCATTAGTTTACACATCCAACAATGATAACATTCTTTCCAGTTTCGCGTCATTTGAAAAATGGTGAAAATCAAGTGAAAAAGTTTAAAATCATGAAACTTGTTTATGTATTTCAAACAACCCTTGAAAATGTAGTACGAAAAAAATTAGTTTCATAAATATTGCCCCGTCTGTTAGGTAAAAATCAGACAAATTTCGATTTTCATCTTGCACCTAATCCAACTTCGTAACGGGACAGACCAGAGACGTGAGGCAGGTAGCGTTGGAATCATCTCCGTAAATTCTGAGAATCTCATCTAAATCAATTTTTTGTCTGCCCAGATTTAGTTTTTCATTATTGTCACTTATCCATAGACAAAATTTGCACTTATATCAAAACAATTATTTATTTAGATGCATTCACGTAAATAATTACATGGGTGGTACATATACATAGGTATTAGAGACACTAAAGAGTGTGAAGTAAATTTGATGCGGAGGACATTTTAAGACATCCGAGGTTCAAGAAATCCAAGAAACACATCCGCAGACCACGCTTTGCACTACGCTTAATGACATTTTATTGTATTGTACCCAAATTAGCTCATATTTTATGCATTTATTCAAGAAATTATAAAAAAACAATTTCTTACAGTTGGCTTTCTTTTAAGTACCTCATTTAAGTACCTCAATCTTAAGAATCGAGTTAAAACTAAAAACCTACTCCAAGCAACTTTGCGGGGCATTTTAAGATAGCATTAATACCATCTTGGTAGTTAATGGCAACACATTTGGGTGGAAATGACCCCCACCGGCCAACCACTTGACCGATCATGCCTATCTTTGAACTCATCCTTACTTTTAACCCAAAGATGAAGCATGCAAAATTTCAACTCGATAGCTTTTGTTTATAGAGAGTTATCGTGCCTACAGACGGACGGACAGACAGGCATCTTGACAAATCTATAAGCCATCCTAAAAGGCCTAAAACTGGTTAACCACATAAATTACAGTAAATTTTTCGTTATGATACCTGCAACTTTGGGGTCAATTGTAGACACATCTCTACCCATTCTGACCACCCTATCGTCAAACATAGTTCTCACTAATTTTCGAACACATTCCGCATCCTGAACCAGTAATTCCATAGGCCAATCACTCCGAGAAATTTGCACGCTTTTAAATCCTCTACTGTGAAAGATGCGATCTTGAATGCCAGATGAAAATTCTTCGTATGTGGTGTTAATAAACTCAAACTGGGCACGTTTAATGCCTGGGAAACATAATTTCCATAAAGTTAAAAATTTCCTAATAAATATATATCTTTGTAATATTTTCAATTGTTACCCGTCCAATTGGCAATATTTTTCAGGACTTCAACCAGCAGGGAAGATTCCGTAGCCCCTTTAGCAACAACATGTACCTCATCCAGATCCCACATTTCGAACGGTGCCATCATCTGGTTGATCTCATGTGCTAAATTATCCCCAACGAGAAAAATCGTTAAATCAAATTTCTTAACGGAGGGGAATAATTGCACAATCGTGTTCGAGAACTCGATATGCGAGTCAGACGTATAACTGGCGTCGAGGGTGAGAGATTGAACTCCTCGGTGTCGGTTCCACTTAAATAGATGGCTGGTCAAGTTCCACCCTCCTGAATTTCTCTTTTTGATGGTGAGATTTCTTAAATTTGGGAGGTGGGCCTCGTCAAAATGGTTATGGATTTTAAGAAAATCTACGCCAAGAATTTCGATGGATGAAACTTGTAACATGACGGGAAAGGCATGTTGATTGTGCTGTAAATTATTAAATTATGATGTGATATTTATACATAAATAGAGTACATATGTAGATTTTAGTAATTGCCCTAAAAGATATGTGCTCGAAACTACCACAGAATTTTTTTTTACTAACAATGTTTTACAAAAATGGTACATATGTAGTCAGATTCCCGAGGGACCAATTTTATTCTGCTCGGCAAAACAAATCAGTATACCTGTATTTTTACAATTTCCACAATGCACGAATTTGAGCTCGAGGCACGACGTTTAAACGGATTTGAACTGCGGATTTTCTAAATCCCTTAACTTTTCGAATTTTTTCACTAGGGAAATCGAAAACATGATTCTTCAAAATAGCATGCTTTAATTATTAAAAATCTAACTGCCTCGATATTTGAATTTCTTAACGTTTTTAAAGATTTGGCATTTGTAACAATCATGCACTCCTAAAATTTTCAAAACATTTTGCACAGCCTAATGCTAGAATTATGAAAAAAGGTGCAACAAGCGAAATATTAATTACAGTTTACCTGTCCCACAGCTACACAATTATTCCCACAGTAACGAAATATCATATCGGTTAAGGAATCCTTAACCTGCGGTAGGATCTTTGTTGTCACGCTCAATTTACCAGGATCAGCATAATATGACTTACTGAACCGAAATTTCAGAACCTTAAGGTTCTTGCAGCTTTCCAAATTCGGACAGGCTATTCCCGATATATCCAAAGATGTCAAATTGGGCGCCGAATCGATCAATACTTGCAAGAAGGTGTCAAACGCGGGGAGGCCGATTTCCTTATTTTGTTCATTAGGTTGGAATTTGATTGAGGTCAAATTAACCTGAATCGGAAGTTTTGGAAACTCCTGAACCGGATTTTCATCGCTCAAGGTTCTTGCCTCTGCCGATATTACGATGGAGACATGTTGAAGGTTTGTGATCTTAAGGAGTGCTATCCCTTGCAGAAACCCGTATGCAAATTCCTTTTTTGTTACGTACAACTTGATTTCGTTGGTAGCCTGGGAGAAGATTTGGGTTATCATTTGGAAAAAGATGTCGACAGTCTTTTCTTCTTGAACGTTTGGTTGAAAAACGTCAAAGATTAGGAGGCGTCGTGTTAATTTGTCGGTCACGGGGGATAATTTATGCAAGTTTAACCGGTCGTAGCGGAACATCTTGTTGACTATGAGATAGGCACGTCTTCCTAATAGATTGCTGCCTATATCGTTCCACTCATGGCACACAAGACGAGCCGTTTTCAAATCGTTGAGGCTCATCTTGTTGATCGTCTCAAATATTTTCTCGAGAATCTAGTAGAAATTCGTAATTATTGTATTGAGATTAAGAGAAATTTGAAACTGAGCAGTGAGTAACTTGCCAACGGATTCTTCAAGACCTCCGACATGTTAGAAACGAATATTAAAGCCTGGAATTGTGTTCAAAATGAAAGAATTCATGTCAGATAAAAATTTGCACAAACTCTTAAAAATGTTGTGTTACCTTTTTGGATAAAGTAAACTATACTAAATCAACAGTATCAAGCATTAACTAACTAGAAGTCTACTCGGGGCGTAGTATACCTTACCAATCCAGAGTGCATTTAGTTTTTAAAAGAGTTGTATTATTTTGAAGAGTGCGGAAATTTCGAGTTATTCAAATAACTTGAAACTACTTCACTACGTCACTCTCGTGATGTAGTGGACGGCAACGTCGTATTGGGCTTGTAAGCAGGTCTAAAATCAGAATAGTAAAATGTATGTGCATACATTTACTTACGTATGTGGACCTACGTATGTGTGAAGATACGGCGCACAATAAGCTGAAAAATACGTATGATACGATTCGCTATTTACTTTAGAATTATGTTATCACTGGCGCAAATCCATTGAAAATCAGCACAATTGGTTGCCTTCTTTATTATCAGGGGTTAACTTACACTGGCAACAAAGATAACGCCTTAGGGAACTATTCTATTCGTCATGCGCAAGTAAATAAACTGCCAGAAATCAGTTGTGGCTAGGGAGGTACATATTGATGTCTCGGTATTAAAGTTGCTTCCATTTAGTTCTGAAATTATACCGTTTCGCATAATTTTATTACTGATACGGTAAAATGTTAATCCTGAGTTATTTCTGCATGATGTTGCTACTTTGGCCTGGTACATATTATTTTAATACTAGATTTCTAAGAGTGCACACAACCACGTAGTAATAGTATACGCAAACATTTATTGTTAATATAAAAACTCTGATAACACCCCAGAATTTGATGTCAATTGTATACGTACACAAAATCCTGGCACTTTACCAAGGAGAATTCGGCACCTATGTATGTCTCAGTCGGAATTGTGTCCCACATGGCTCCAGTCACACCAAAAGTTTGCTGAAAATTTCACACTAAAAAATGAATACTTCCACTAAAACGAGATTCCGCGTAACACAAAACACTGCGATTCCTTTCAGCCGCGACGAGCGAAAAGCCATGAGATTACCCAATTTTGAAAACTTTCCCCTTTTCACAGAACTCAACTGCGCCAGAGTTCTTAAGTCGACCCCATTATCTGACAAGACTACCCTCGTCGAACGAAATGGCTTGGTCGACACGGTCCTGAAATGTTACAACCACCACAAAAACCTCATCCTCCGCCCGGACGACGTTTGGATCGCGATCATGACGCAGTTCTCTTTCTACGTGAATAAAAACGCGGAAAAGTTACGCACCTCGTTTGTCGACTTTGAGGGGAAGAAAACCCTAAAAGTCGACATGGGCATCGCAACCATTGATACGATTCGATACGACGAATTTGTCAAGCTCATGGGAAAAACGGTCGACCTCAATTTGACCGATTGTGTAGTCAAGGACTGGATTCTACCCACTTTTTCCACCACGACGGTAAACGACGTCATCTCGTGTGGCGTCATTTTCATGGCGACGATGAAAAAATATTTCGAATATATTTGCCAGTATACGTTATGCGGTATACCGGAAGTAGTTTTGGAGGGGAGTATCGCCGATTGGATGGAGATTGATAAGCGGATCGATAAGTTGATGGAATTCGACGGGTTGGGAGAGTGGTGGGCCATGCTGAAGGAGATTACCCAACAGTTTATTACCGCTAAGGAGGGCAAAGTAGATACGAAATGGTGGGAAAAGATTTGTGATGTTGAATATTATCATGGGCAAATGTCGGGGGATGTGGATAAGACGTGGATCACGGGATGGATAACTGCATTTTGTTATTTTGATGAGGAAGGAAATGTGCTAAATTGTAAGGAATTTTTGTTTATCATGTAGCCCTGTAACTTTGTAATCTACACAATTGTAAAACAGTAGTATTTTTATAATTGTGTTTGATCGTCGCCGTTCTTCGTGCAAAAGTTCTAGGCTGAAACCTATTCTAAAAACGGATATCGATATCAAAATATTTCTAAGTACATAGCAATAGAAATGCCATTAAGTAACAACTAATTCACGCGATATCGAAAATTGGTACACTCAAAGTAAGGTAGTAATGAATCATTACCATGCGGAATGACTATGTGGCTCTACCAGGTCGGTTAGGATTTGTCGTAGAAATGGTAATAATAAGTTCAGGGAAATTCAAATTTAATACATAATGGTATTCACTTCCTTAATATTTGGTAATGAATTTGAATTTCCCTGAACTTATTATTACCATTTCTACGACAAATCGTAACCGACCTGGTAGAGCCACATAGTGATTCCGCATGGTAATGATTCATTACTACCTTATTTTGAGTGTATAATGATACTTGGTTTCACATACTGCATTCCTTACAATTCCCGCCCCACAGTTAATTCCCAATAGTGTTGAATAATTTTTCGCCAATGTTTGGTTGAAAGGTGGAAATTCTAGTTATCCAACTGATCTAGCTTTTATCAATATGATTTGAGGCATAAACTGTGGGGTATGAAATGTGCCAGATATTAAATGTGATGGATGAATTGTATAGTGTGAAGTATCTGACACCAAATATTTATAAATATTCTTGCATAGATATTTATGCTGAATTTGTTATTCCTTGTGATTTTTACAAAACTTCACATACATTTAAACATTACTGATCATAACTTGTTTTCAGACAAGAAGTTGGAGATTCAAGACATTCCTCTGAGCTATGTGAAAGTGGACGTCATCCTGGAAGAAAAATTATCCAAGAAACGCGACCCCACCGTCATGTTTGCAGGCTTGGTGGGGATGGAGTGGGAGGAGGATGGAGCAAGTTTTAGACCTTCGGTGGGGTGGGCCATAGCTTTGCGACATAGAAATAATTTACTCGTGCCCCATGAACAGTTTGAAATTGCCCATTAAATGGTGTTAATTTATCATAGTAGTTGATTTTGTCTTTACGTAATTTTTTCTCGTCCCCCAATTAAACTTAAATTGTCACTTAATTCATTTATGTACAACAGAAACAATTTTTTTCGGGCAACTGATAAAACTGATAACTGATTATAACTATTATTATTATAACTATTATTTATAACCGATTTCATAATAAAATCAGTTATAAATAATTTTTTTTACTCATCTATGACTTTATGTAATATATCTAACTATATTCATACGTACTACATAAATATCAGAATAGGATATCAATCTCGTTTCCGTATCCCTCTATACCATGTCACAAAATCACATTCTAACCACGTGCACGAAAATACCCCTTTAGTTATGCAATAGGGCTTCCCATAAGACGGGACAAGACAAGATTATACGTCTTGTCTCGTCTTGTTACAATCTGCGGGACGAAATATCAAGACAAGACGGGACGACAAGCTGTCCCGTCTTGCCCGTCCCGTGCAAGACGGGACAACACGGGACGCACACGTTTTAAATGGGTTGCTTTTTAAATCCTTTTGCAAAATTTAATTTCGATACATTAAGCATGATACAAATTGTTTATACTAACTACAGAATAATTTAACCAATGTTTCGGCTGGTAAAAATCACATTACACTGGTAATTTGAAAAAGACCTTTACCATCCCTAGAACGGAAAACCTCTATTTTAATTTGATCGGAAACTGCTTGTTTGGAAATTTATGTTCTCAAAACTTGACTTCATGTTCGCCTTGTACATAAAATTCTAAGTTCTAAATTCTATTTCATGATACGAATTAGATAAAGCAATCGGAATAATATTTTATGATTCGTTTCGATCGAATTTCCATTATAAGGGAATTACAATTTCACTCAAGTTATAGTTTATTGAACAAATACTTCCGTTGCACCAGCTTTTAAATTAAATTTTGATAAACTCCGAGACGAAAGTATCATATTTAAATGGTGGCTCATTCCATTTGTAAGCAACACGTTTGATCAAGTACCAGGAAATAGAGGTGCTAAACCCTGCTCCCTGGTGGTGGTGGTTGCCTGGCCATGTATTTTCTCTCTTTTGCAAGAGAACACTACACAACTCACACTTTGTCAATGTTCCCGGCCACGTAGGAACACAGAATTATTTACTACTGTCTACACAAGCAGCCCATGTTAATTTTACCTTTTCGAAAAATTGCCAAAACTCCAAGACGGACAAAAAGCGCGTGGGGTTTTAAACTTTTTTGTTTCCTCAGGCCCAAAGGCATCGATTGGCTTATCTCTCAATGAGCGATTCCTGTCCGTCTTCTCGATAATCAAGTTTTTAAATACATTTCAAATTTCAGATTTTTTTTAATTTTTTAATTTTTTAAAATTTTTCATAGCAAATAATGATCAATGAATGAAATCTGTAAATGTAACCTACCCCTTTGAACCAACACTTTCGTGACGAAAGCATTTTCAATGCATTTGCAAATTTTCTTTAAAATGCTATATCTTTGCGAAAAAAATTAATTTTCAAATTTTGATTTTTATGATATGTTTTATTTTATATTATGCAACTATGATATGATTGTGGACAAGATATCAAATATGGGTGCGACGACGATCGTGTGGGTTCAGATGGAATGAGCCTGGTCGCAAGACGTCTCGTCTTGCCGAGACAAGACGGGACAAGACGTTGTTTGTCCCGTCCCGTGTCCCGTCTTGCTTGCCAACACGCGGGACGTAAATTTCCGTCTTGTCTCGTCTTGTCATCCAGTCTTGCCAAGACAAGACAAGACCGTCCGTCTTGTGGGAAGCCCTAGTTATGCACATGACATAATTAATGACCATGTTTTATCTGCTAAAAACTTTCTTGTCTAAAACATCCACTAGGTTGTAATTAGCTTTACATCTTGTGCGTATGTACTATTCGTATGTATATAGGTAGGAAACGAACACGAAAAAAGTTCCAGAATTGCGTTGGACAGGAGTAGGAATATGTAAGTAATTAGAGCATAATTATCTTCTTACAAGGAGGCAGGGTACCAATTATTATCTGTTTTTTGTATGAAAAGACCTCCGGCAAGACAAATATAAGTCAGAGTGAGTTACATAAGCTACAAGACAAAAGTAAGGAAGCACAGGTAAAGAAGTTGTCAATTTTTTAAAAATAAGTAACGGAAAAATAATGAAAAGCTTAAATTTAGCTACATCCGTCGTCGTGGTAAGGATTTGTTTTATAATGAGAGATGCTAACTTAATTAGTTTCAGTGAGTACCTTATTTCCTAATAGATCGTCCTTCTCATCTGGGCACCAACTTTGACACGAATTTCCAGGCAAGACCCACGTCTATTTTCCATCATTCAGCAATCACATTCCCTGCCAAGATATCAGTTTACGATACTCGAAATAAAATTATATCCCCAGAAGTAGGACATTCTCGACTCCAATACTTTTTATTTCGTTAAGAAACGTTAAGGATTACATAAATTGAGTAGCGCTGGTGACGAAGTAATTCTATTTCTACTTATGAATGTGATGTTTTGTTACTTCACTATAAATCACATGTACATATGCATCTCATTATACCATTTATGCATCTTATTGTTCTTATTAGTGATTTATTTTAATCACATTCCTTGAATTGGTTTCTGTAAAAAAAATCAGTGAACATACCTAGTCGGGTACGAAATTCTTTGATAAACGTTTTTTACTGCAGAAAAGTAACGGGTAAGAATTTTTAATAAAAATTTTCCACACGGATGCATAATATACCTGTGTATAATATAAAAATACTAAATATCCAAATTTCTTCCTCTGGAGCACACACACTTACAAAATCTGATGGTAAACTGATCGCCTGGATTACGCACACTTTCCTGTGGGAACTTATGCCAAGCTTTGTGTAAATTTAACAAGGAATATTAAAGAATTTGCACTAAGCAAAAATCATACATACCCCTGGCAAATAGAAAACGTCGAAGATCTCATCCCCCTAAGTCTTTGATGGTTTGGATTTGAATTAATCTCCTGGAAAAAGCGAAACCCCGTTTTTCTCTAGAAAGGGTTACAGCGCAAGCCAAGAATGACATTACCAAAGTTGCAAAACTTAGTATAAAACCTCTGAAGTCCGGCCTATAGAAAAATAGAAACTGAATTTCTTAAAAGGTAACGGCTCAGCCATATGATGCAAAAATTGTCCAAAAAAATTGACTATGAGCTCATTTCATCGATTTAATTTAGTCACAAAAATTCCATTGGTAATAGCAGACCTTAATCATCTGGATTATGACTTGCGGCTTAAAATTGAGAACATGGCCGGCTCTAAAACTTCCAATGGTGCAGAAGTTCTCAAATTTTGTTTCTCAACGCTTGTGACCATTTTCCGGTAGAAACCGCGCGTGCTCCAAGCGACCGGCCGTCCATCAGATTTCTCAAGCGTGTGTACTCCATAGATCGGAGTACTCCGGGCTTGGAGTACGTACTCCGGCCTCCGGAGGCCGGAGTACGCAGCTTTTTCTGGAGGCCGGAGTACGCGGAGGCCGGAGTACACGTGGCCAGCCGGAGGCCGGAGTACGCATGGCGGGCCGGAGGCCGGAGTACGGAGGCCGGAGTACGCAAAATTTCCGATCGCATAGATAGGAGAATTCCGAGCTTGGAGTACGTACTCCGGCCTCCGGAGGCCGGAGTACGCGACTTTTTCTGGAGGCCGGAGTACGCGGACGCCGGAGTACGCGTGGCCAGCCGGAGTACGCGGACGCCGGAGTACGCGTGGCCAGCCGGAGTACGCAGAGGCCGGAGTACGCGTGGCCAGCCGGAGGCCGGAGTACGCAAAATATCCGATCTATGGTGTACTCCAGGAGGGGAAATTTGGAAATGTAGTATTTTTATATTATACACAGGTATATTATGCATCCATATGGAAAATTTTAATTAAAAATTCTTACCCGTTATTTTTCTGCAGTAAAAAACGTTTATCAAAGAATTTCGTACCCGACTAGGTATATATGCTTATGAAAAAATACTCGTAAGCTATACACTCTTAGAAATAATTTTACTTTTTTGAAAAGCAAGTGCACTTTTTACTCCATATGAAGTAAGGTTTACTCCGTATCAAGTAAGCGTTACTCTGGATTTAGTAAACTTGACTTCATATGGAGTAAAAAGTGCACTTGCTTTTCAAAAAAGTAAAATTATTTCTAAGTGTGTACATATGTACACATGTAAATTACATTTGTGATTAAGCACGTGGGCATTAAAAATGAACTCATTAGAAACAAGATGCATCAAACTACATAATTGCTGCCCTGTAAAATGTAATTTCTAAACATTTAAACAAATTTAATGCCAATCGTGTTTTATGCCCGCGCCTTCCTTCGCGTTTTTATTATTGTATTTCAGTGAAGTACACATGTATTGTGTATGTAAAGCAAGCTTTAAATCACTCCGTGTTTGTCCCCAATTATAAACCAAGTAGGTAATTGGAAAATGCACATGCATTTTTTGCCGTAAAATTAAGTATCAGTATGTGGGTCAAATATTTCGTAAAAAGTACACACATATTTGTTTATGTGTATACACGTGCTCGTACTATGATTTAAGTCCAATTACGGTCTATTCTGCTAATTAATTACATAAATACCTGTATATATAAATTCATACATTAGAAGCAGAGATTTAAACATGCAAATAAGAATCGTAATATTTATACACATGTACTTAAATTAGGTAATGTCGTGCACGTTTCCCGGATTTAAAAACAGTAATTTCATTTTAACGACATGCAGATAGTGCACGGAAATGGACATTTATATATGTAGTAGTGTATTAATAGATTTCGTTACAATAGTTTTGTTTATGCACATACGTATCAAAATGTATGCACCTAAAATAAAATATTTAACACATGCAAAAATATTTCGTTAACAATTTTAATATACAATTCATCATTAAAAAGGCATAAAGTATGTATGTAATTTAGCTTTCCGTCCGTTACGGATTCATTTTTGGTCCTTTCTTCCTTTTCACAATCCTGGACCAATAGCAAATACACAACGGCCAAGCATCTGAGAAATCTGCACGCTTTTAAATCCCCTACGATGAAAGATAATATCATTCATCCAGGTAGAGAGGTCGTGGAAAGTGCGGTCGCTGAATCTAAACTGGGCACTTTTAACGCCTGCAATACATACATAATTTCGAGATGAGTACATATTTATTTTAGATTTCCTTATAAACTTTTCTCTACTTTTACCCTTCCAATTCGCTATATTTTTTAAGAATTCGACCAACATGGAGTTTTCCTCGGCTCTGTCCATGAAAACAGTGACCTCCCTCAGATCCCACATTTTGAACGGGGCCAATATTGGGTTGACCATATGTACGAAATCTTCGGCAGGAAGGGATATCGTGAAATTAAATTTCTTCACGGCGGGAAATAATTGTACAATTTTTCGCGAAAATTCGATGCTCGTGCAAGGCCGATAACCAGGTTCCACGAGGATATATTGAACTCCGCGGTGTCGCTGCCATAGATTTAGATGGGCTAAAAAGTTCCACTCTTTCAAATTGTTTTTTGTAATGCGGAGGTTTTTTAACTTTGGGAGGTGTTTTTCATTAAAAAAGTTTGGGATTTGAAACGAATCTATGCAGGGAATGGTGAGAGAGTAAAGTTCCGACATCACAGGAACTTCAAGATTTTCGCCCTGAAATTTATTGAGTAAATAAATACGTATAACCAAATATAAAAATATGAAAAATCCACTGCAGGAATTGATTTTTCTGCGGACATTCATACATCTATAAGTCCATGCAGAAATGCGAGAAATGAACGAAGTAATCCCGAATTCTACATATTTACATAGAGCAAATCTTATATGAACCCGATCACTTGGAAATTTATCCTCAAAATGGTCAAAAATGATTTTTTAAATCTCAAATTTTTGGTGGTTATTATAAACATTACTGACATTAGGTATCCGCGAAGAAGGGAGACCTTAATCAATTACTCACTTCGTATTTAGTCTTTTTCATCGCACCCGCCATTAATTCTTTTCCGGAAGACTTTGCAACTTCATTGTTAACTAGTCTTTTAAGCCCGCAATGCGGGCTCTAAACAAAACGATTTTATTTAGTCCGCGATACAAATGTCTGCTGAATAATTACTTACATTAACACAGAGCAAAAGGAGCGTGGACCTGATTGTCACATTGTATAGTACGACGTTTAAGAATAAAGTTCGTCACTTCACGATTCTAAGTGATGTAACCACGAAAAACGTTCTGTTACAACTCTAAAGGGTGTGACCACGAAAACGTTTAGTCACGACTCTAAAGGGTGTGACCACAAAAAACATTTGGTCACGACTCTAAAGGGTGTGACAACGAACAACGCTCAGTCACGACTCTACACGGTGTGACCACGAAAAACGCTCAGTCACGACTCTAAAGGGTGTGACCACGAAAAGTTCAGTCACGACTCTATGGGTGTGACCACGAAAAACGTTCAGTCACGACTCTATGGGTGTGACCATGAAAAACGTTCGGTCACGACTCTAAAGTGTGCCATTGTTCTAACGTTATAAAAACGTTCAGGCACTAAAAGCAAATTCCCTCTAGCGCTGAAAAACAGCCAACATCCGATAGGTGACGCTGGTAGGTAATTAAGATTAGTGAGGCACAGGTCAAGTGTTAACTATACTGTGGGGCACAGAGGTCACAGCTCAAGTGTCAAGTATAGTGGATGTGCCCAGGTCAGAGCTCAAGTGTCAAGTATAGTGGCTGTGCCCAGGTCAGAGCTCAAGTGTCAAGTATAGTGGATGTGCCCAGGTCAGAGGTCAAGTGTTAACTATACCGTGGGGTCACAGGTCAAGTGTCAAGTCTAGTGGGTGTGCCCAAGTCACAGGTCAAATGTCAAGTCTAGTGGGTGTGCCTAGGTCACAGGTCAAATGTCCAGTATATTGGGTGTGCCCAGGTCACAGGTCAAATATCAAGTCTAGTGGGTGTGCCTAGGTCACAGGTCAACATAGATCGGATATTTTGCGTACTCCGGCCTCCGGCTGGCCACGCGTACTCCGGCCTCCGCATACTCCGGCCTCCAGAAAAAGCTGCGTACTCCGGCCTCCGGAGGCCGGAGTACGTACTCCAAGCCCGGAGTACTCCGATCTATGCAGGTCAAATGTCCAGTATATTGGGTGTGCCCATGTCACAGGTCAAATATCAAGTCTAGTGGGTGTGCCCAGGTCACAGGTCAAGTGTCAACTTTAGGGGGTGTACGAATGTCACAGGTAAAATGTCACCTCTAGGGGGTGAGCCCGTTCATTTGATCAAGTCTCGGCAGATGCAAAGGGTGTATTTCGTTGTTCTCGTGTTCGTCAACGTTTTATAAACCTTTTGACATTTTAGCGAAAAACGCCCTCTAGAAACGAAAAATGCAACATAGTTCCCAAACTGCCGCTAGGTGACATTAGCTTGGACAATGTGAGACACGTGTGCAATCAAGCGCCAAGTTCAAGTGGTAACACACAGACACACACACACCACTGCACAATTCTTGGTTCTGATTTTCTCCCTCCGTAACCAAAATTTTCTTTAAGTATCGACTGTTTCACAAAGCTGGGAGTATGTCTTCTCACATATAGCCCAAATTTTTTTAATTGAGTGAAGATAATGGATGTATGTGGGATTTTAATTTTCAAGCATCAAAATGATTTTTTTCGATTTCTTGCTTGATAGTCATTGAATTGTGGATTAGCCCAAGGTCGGTCAAAAAAATTGCATTTTGTATTTTATGATACACCTTGATGAAAGGAATCAGACGGGCTATCACACATTTCCGAAAACTAACCTGTGCGTCCTCATAGCCCATATGAACTGAGGGGTCCGAAACATGCCCAAATTGACAGAACGCCAGCCAAACCTGAGATTTTTTGAGAAATTTCGAAAAACATTTTAATTTCTGTTCGGTTTTCAGTTGAGAGATATATTTCCCATGAAAAAATTCCCTTCCCGAAGTTTCTGCCACGTTTTTAAGGACGTAGGACTCGTCGTCAGTGACCAATTATTTTGGTGACATTTTGTTGCACGGCTTGATAGGTCTTGCGTTTACCATTTTTTCTTAACGTTCCGTATGTTTTGCTGGAGATTTCTTTGAATATGCTTTGACCCGCAATTTATGAGCTTTAATATGATACAAATAGTTTGTATTAATCTTTGACTTCATGGCGGCATCAGGCACGGACGTGGATGAATAATTTTCAAAAAATGATTCAATCGCTATTAACTTTCGAAGGGCGTATATGGTGGTTTTTTCTCATGGTGCGTATTTTAGGTTGACCTTTTCGGATTCTGCATACTTTTTTATGTATGTCTCAATTTTTTCACGCCCTCCCCCTTCTCCGTTTAAATGCAGTCAAGTCTACTCCGAGTCGTTGTCACTCAAATTTTTGGACTTACAAAAACTCGTTTCCCGATTTCCTCAATTTGAAGTGGTGTAGGAAATTTATTTTCAAATGAAAACTTATGAAATTTTGGGGAGACGTGGTCAGATATGTTTAGCATATTTTGCAAGAATCTCAGATTTCTAACTCTACTTTTGAGGACTCTGCTATTAAACACCCTAGTGATCGGGTTCATATAAGATTTGCTCTATATGCAAATATGTACTTGTTATACATATGTATATCGAATAGTCCCTGTAGTTAAGCGTAGTATGAGGAGAGACGGATAGTAACTCATCGGACCTTGGAGAGGGGTCATTGTACCCCACTTTGTTTAGTTAGCGTATATCGATTTCATAATTTTGAAAAGTCTGCGGTCATGGCCAAGGTGGGGTAGTTGAATGTTAACGAAAGAGTGAAATAACTTGAGTACCTTTCTGTTGAAAAAATTTGAGCATTAGAAAGGATCCTCGTTGAGGAAATGACCCTTACATGACCCAATCATGAAAAACTCTTGCCCTTCATTATATGTAAACAATTTAGTCGTTATTTGCCCAACCATACTCAACTATATTTTTTGGCTTGAAAAGTATTTGGTATCATTGCGGATAGCGTTTGTTGACGTTATAGAGGATTATACTGGAAACTCGAAAGGCAAGCAACCCAAACTTATTGGGGTATCATGGTCTTTCCGGTTATTTTCCGTCTTTCCTTCATACATAACGAGTCCCAGCAAGTTGTGCTTATTTATGCCTGTATGACATTTATATCAATTTCTTCCAAGACATGCCTACGATTATAGGAAAATTACAAGAAATCGAACACAAATTAACGTTTTACCATTGCCACATTGAAATTGTTTGTCCCAACGTAGTGAAATTTCAACTCTGTCAAAGAATCCTTAACCTGTCCTAACACCCTTGTCAGATTGGTCAAGTTTAATTCAGTAGAGCCATGGTAACATTGTTCGAAGCGAAGTTCCAAAACCTTGAGTTTTTTCGACTCTCCTAAATTCGGATATAATGTTCCCGAGATGTCCAAGCAGCTTAAATTTGGTGCCGAATCGACAAGTAATTGAAAGAATATTCCAAACACGTGGAAGCTCTCGGCCGGTCTTAGTGGATAGGCTGTAAACTTTATTGAGGTTAAATTAGCTTGAATTGGAAGTTTTGGATACCCTTCAATTTCATCCACGTAGCGAAGAATTACTAAATTTCGCAGGATAACGATGGAAACTTGCTGAATGTTCGTGCTCTTAAGGCTTGCTATTCCTTCAAGGAATGTGATGACCAATTTCTTTTGTGCTTCCAAGAACTTGGTTACCTGCGGTGTGTTTGGGTTGTTCGGGAAATAGTGTACCCTTGGAGTCGAGACGTTGATAGGCCTGTATGTTGGCTTGTAGAGTGGAAAACTGTCCAAGATTAATAAGCGGCGTTTCAATTTGTCGTTCACCAGGATCATTTGGTCTAAGCTTGACGTTTCATAGAGAATCCTGTGGATATTGAGGGAAGCACGCCTTCGTAATAAACTAGCGGCAACATGGTTCCACTCATGGCACACAAGGGGAGACGTTTTTAAGTCGTGGAGTTCGAGCTGGGATAAAATGTGGTCGAGAATCTAATAGAAAACTAATTATTTTGGGTACGGATTAGGAAAAAATAAGTTACTAGTGATTAACTTATGTACCAGCGGGTTCTGCAAGGCTTTCAACATGTTATGGCGGGCTGATTTGTTATCCATGGCTTTAGAGGAATTACGGAAAAAAATATTTCCGAAGTAATTCAAGGCAATTGACAGAAATTTCTCAGCTAAAATTTTGAGAACTAGGTTCTTCTTTTGAATGGTAACATCATACTGTATTAATTTATTTGCTTAAAACTATAATTGTGAACGTATGTATATATGTGTGATTTACTTAATATACATTTGAAGATAATGCGCACAATAAAGCTAAATCATTCGCATGGCACCACTTTTTATCTGTGACGCAAATCCATTACTGGAAATCAATACAATTATTTGTCACCTTTTTATCGGGTAAACGACCCAAGATAATATTAATTTACACTTGGCAACAAAGATAACAGCTTGTAAAACTATGTGGATCTCCGTCGCGTAGCTAAAAATTGCCCTTGTCAATATGAAAATTTCCATAACATGTGAACGTGCGATGCAAAAATTTAGGTTGTCATTTAAATCAATTAAATTATATTACTTTCGTTCAGTTAATTAACTCAACGAAAGTAAGTAAAATGTAAATGCGAATTTCTTCTTGTAAGATTGTCTTATGTTTCATTGTCCGCTAACGGCATGATCGTTAAAAGACGAGTAAAATTTTTCACTTGAAAAACTGAATAAGGCGTTTATTAATTTTTAATCAAAATAAACAAAACAGCAATAATTATTTTGTTAGCATTTTATAGGAAGCACCACAAATTTTTATTATGTTCTCTATTTAAATCTATTTAGTGCTCGTATTTTCGCCTGCTGCTGAATTTTTAAATAATCTTAGCCAAAGTCAAGACGAGTATTTCTCAACATTTCAAAATCCTCTAGATTTTTAAATTATAACAAATAATTTCAGACTTGAAACATATTTGAATAGAATAAATAAGCATATGTAGGAGGTGTTGTACTGTTAGACAGTTGTATTGATTTAGTTATTTTATGTTTGGGGACAGACTTGGCCACACCCCGTGAGATAAATTACTTCTGAAATCATAAAAGATTACCATTAGGAGAAACATAAAAGGGAAAATTTAATTAGAAAATTTGAGTGATAAATTGTGTAGTTCGAAATAATTTGTTGGGGTCTCCTGGCTAAGGGATTCTACTTTTAGAAACATTCCAAATCCGTTAGAAATTGTAACATCAGGATAGAAAATCCGTTTGAAGATTTAAAATATGATCAACAAAACTGCATACTTGCTTGCCAAAAGTATGTACATAGCACAAAAAACTCCCCTTCTCCTAAGACTCAAGCCATTGTGGCGCCTCAAACACACGCCTTCCCATCTTTTCAAAGATGGGTCGCATCAGTTTTTCCACACATTCTCTATCCTGAACAAACAATATCATTGGCCCATCATTCCGAGAAATTGTCACACTTTCTAACCCTCTACTGCAGAAGATAAGATCCTCAATGCATTGAGAAAAGTTTATCTGTGTGAGTTTAGTATTCTTGAACTGGACACGATTAACGCCTGGAATACATAATAATTTACTTAAAATCGAACAGGTAAACATTTATTTATACATATCTAAAAAATGTTGGTATAATAATAATAATCTTTATTGCATATATAGCCAATAGCTCTTGCAAGTCACAATCATCATTTCAAGATAGATACATTTTAGTCAAATTTTAGTTTAGAATAATTGTGATAGTAGTCAGGGGAGTAGAGGGAAAACCAGACTATGGTGGCCAGTCTGGAAAACCTCAACCTGAACTGGGAAGGTTGCCCAGTTCACCATTCGGCCCTGACTACCTGTAAACCCAGGTTCGACCAGTGAATGACAGAGATTATAAGCGATTTGCATATCGGAAAATGGTGACATCCAAATGAGTAGGCGCCGTGCCGGCAGGGACACGACGGGTATTAGGCTGGAGTGGAGCATTCATGGACCACAAACTAACCAAGGACCCATTTCAGGGTTCGGCCTAAGTGACCCCATAAAGGGGCCATGATACACCCCACAAACTAACCCCTCCCACCGCAGCACATGACCAGGTCATGGGAACCCCGTAGACCTACCCCAGCCGCCCCCACCAGCACTGCGCACACTCCAACATATCAAACAAAGGTCTCACCTGGGGGAGTCCTCCATGACGTAGATCCTCCCGTGCACAGAGTCCGGTGAATCCATCTTCGCCTGATGGCTCAGCTTGTCGTTGCTGGGACGGGTGTGGCAGGGAGTGTCACCAGGCACGCAGGTGGGGGGTGTGAGTGGACGAGGCTCACGTGGCGTAAAGCCTATAGGACACACTTCCAGAGCCGTACCGTGAAATTGCCAGGCCTGGTATGAGCTGAAGTGCCGGGCCCTTTCATAAGTTCAATATATGCATTCGATATGTAGTAGTTTTCGCACCATATTCAGGAACGAAATAATATTCTACGAGTATCGAGAGTGCACTATTTTGCCAGTTCTATGGGAAAATAGTGAAAACTTATTGTGTTTTTAACTCAGCCATATTTTTGAAAATATCGGCGGGACGGCGAAAATTCAATTATGAACACCTTAGTTGCAACTAAGGTGTTCATAATTTGTTTATCGATCAATACGCGAATATGACATACTTCGCGCCATGCTTTCCCACCACCCCAGAGCCCAATTAGGTCTAACGCTGACCTAACTGGGCTCTGTTATACTATATTAATATTAATATTAATTTTATATCTCTAACAACCATTTTTTTAATTTCGTAATCATCTATATTATAAGCTGGAAATGTTTGTTGGCAACGGAAGTGAAAGTAATTTTCCGTTACGGAAGTGAAAGTGGAGAAAATGATTTGCATATCAACTGTTTTGGAAGGTTGATAAGTCAGTTATGCAGAATTTGCAGGTTAGCTTATCAAGAAGGGAAGTTAACGGAAATTATTAAGTGCGGTTGTCGCTTTGCTGGGGGGGAATAATTGGTTGTGTCCATTTTGGCTATGGTTATCGCTCTGCTGGGTGGAGAGGATGGGTGTGCCCCCTGGGATATGGTTATCGCACTGCTGGGGGGACTGGGAAGGTGTGCCTTAGCAACATAAAAAAAATTTCCTTAGCAACATAAAAAAATTTCCTCCTTTGAGAAATAGTGGTCCCGCCAAGTCCACCCCAACAATTTCAAACGCCACAGATGTCCGAACTCGGTCTTCTGGCAACGGGGCTTCAGGCGTTTTCACATGTTGTGCACTAAATCGTCTGCACCTTACACAGCTTGCAACCACTTGCCGAACAGCTTTCCGCCCTCGAAGGATCCAATATTTTTGGCGAAGCTGACCCATGACGTACTGAGTACCTCCATGACCGCTCTCCAAGTGAATGTAACGAATCAGTAGACGAACTAATGGGTGTTTTTCAGGCAATAATATTGGTGTCTTGAAAGTGACCATGTCTGTTCTCATGAGTAATTTAGTTTGAACTCTAGCAATTCAGTCAGCATCATCCCAAACGACACGAAGATTCGCGATTGTTTTCTCGCCACGTTTGAAACTTTCACTTTGCACCAGACTTAACAATTTATTTTCTGCATTTTCTAATTCACCCACGGTAAGTGATCCATTTGAATTAGTTCGTTTCCTCGTCTTCTCCACAAATCTCAAGATCCACGCCATGAGGTTAACAACTCTGGTGAATGACGAAAATTTCTTGCAATACCACGGGACGTCTGCACATGAAGTCAACAGGTTTACGGTCACGCTCTTCAGCTTCTCGGACATGACCTCATCTTCATTAGTGGTGAATTTTTCAATTGGCCAAGATTTCTCATCCAGTTTCAACCAGTGTGGACCCTCCCACCATCGCGAATCTCGTAACTGGGCAGGACTGCATCCACGAGAAGGCAGATCGGCTGGGTTGAGTGTCCCCGGAACGTGACGCCACTCTTCTTCCTTACTCAGGGTCAGGATCTCGCGTACACGATTTCCAACAAACTTTCCCCAGATGTCATCTCTCCTTATCCATGCTAATGCTGTAGATGAATTTGACCAAAAGAAAGTTTTCTCTTCCTCCATTGACAAGACTTTTTTCACAACCGTTGTCAATCTCGCTCCGATAGTACACGCTAGGAGTTCTAACCTCGGAATGGAAACTTGTTTGATGGGGGCAACTCTTGATCTTGCTTGTAGATGAAGATCGACATCACCATCATTATCCACTCGTAGGAATACAACAGCAGCATACGCTGACTTGCTTGCGTCCACAAATGTATGTATTTGCTTATTTCCTCTTCCGTCTCCAAAAGCGTTTCTTTTTATCCATATTTCTTGGAATGAGCGCACCTCACGTATCCACAAATTAAATTTGGTAAATAGATTTTCATCCAAATTTTCATCCCAAGAAATTTTGTTCCTCCACGCTTCTTGCAGAATAATTTTTGGGACGATGAGCGCGGGACACAGATATCCTAATGGGTCGAAAAATTTCTGTGCACACGACAAGACTTCTCTTTTTGTAAATTGTTGTTGTAGTGCACATTCTTCTACTTGATATCCTAAAGTGTCATCCGCCTTGTTCCACTTCATCCCCAATACTGAAGTGATAGAATTGTCCTGATGACTCCACTCCCACATACGTAAATCCATCTTGGCGTCCTCCATAATTTTTGTAGCAGCAGACTTGAAGTGCTCCAACTCACCCTCGGAAGAAACGGTACTGACACAGTTGTCCACGTACAGGGATTTCCACAATTGTTCAGCTACGGCTTTCTCCACTGTTGTGACGGACTTCAAGTGATGCTCGATCACAGCTCCCAGAAGGTACGGGCTGCAATTGACCCCAAAAACGACACGAAGATGACGAAAGATTTTCAGTTTCTTTTTACTCCAGTCCTCCCACCATAGAAAACGAAGGTAGTTTGTATCTTCCGGTGTCACTTTGATCTGAAGAAAAGCTTTTCGGATGTCCGAAGTCACCCCAATTTGTCCACGTCGAAACCGTAGCAGCACGTCCGGAATCTGCTCCAACAAATTCGGACCTTTTTCTAAACTCTCGTTGAGTGATGGGGTACGTCTCGTTTTGCAACTCGCATCAAATACAGGGCGAATAGGTGTTGTAATACTTTCTGGTTTGATTACTGCTCGGTGTGGTAAGTAGTGGGAGAATACTTCGTCATCATCAGCAATTTCTTCAATAATGCCTTCTTTCCGCCACGACTCAAACAAATCATCGTACTTGTCGTAGTATCCGGACTGAATAATCTTCTCGGTCGCAGATACAAGTCTTCTTTCGGTATATTAGGACGCCCATCCATCCACGGAAGATAAACGCAGTAACGCCCGTCCTCTTCACGACAAACTGACTGCAAAAAATGCTCATTCACTTCCTTATCTCGATCTTCTTTCGTGAGATGTTCAGCGGGGTCCTTCATTCCGATAACATCAAGATCCCACAGCTTGGACTCGTCCATTGATGCCAAAAATAGTGAGGTAACCGTCATACCAAGGTTATCTTTTGGTACTTTTCCTCCCAATGACCATCCAAATATAGACTGGAACGCAGTGAGTCCACCGTTCAACTGCACCACTCTGCCGGTCATCAATTTTCCATAGTAGTCGCTGCCTATCAGGATCTCAATTTCTGGACTGTCGGAAGTGAAATCAGTCAAATGTACGCCTTGATTTGCTAACTCTTTGATCCATGGTCCACTCGGAACGCGTGCGATGAGACCACAGATATCATCGCGATCCAACACCGCCAGTGATTCTCGATGATGACCATTTAAACTTTCTATCTGAATGCGGTACTTATTGTATTTGATTGGTCCTGTCACCATTCCTCCAAATAAGCAATTGTTGACCCATTCGTCTCCAATCTTGTTTACTCCTAACCTCTGCATGGTGTCACGCCGCACAAAACTTTGCTGATTTCCACTGTCGTAAATCAGCCGGACGACTCGTGACGTTCCCTTCCAAATAACTCGAACAAGTTCTGTTTGCAGTAATACATCATTACGGCAAAGTTGGTTTGACATCGCAGCTTGTGGTGGTATTACTTCCGGTCTTGTCCTTGGGATCGATAGTCCAGGACACATCACTGTTGGGTGTTTTTCTTGACAGACTTGACATCTCATTTGATTTCGACATTTAATTGCAGTATGTCCGACTTTCAAGCATGAAAAACAGCATCTCATTTCCTGCAACTTTTGCCTCTTGACATTGTAGGACAACGTCTTCGCTCGAAAACAATCTTGAGTGGGATGGGGTTTTTTGCAAAATACACATTCCGTCTTTTGTCCAGAAAATAGACCTGCTGAAGTTGCGTAATTATCACCACCACCATCTTCCTTCAATCGAGACTTCTTGTCCTTGGTCATGCCAAATCCGGAACGTGCCAACGAAATCCTCTCCTCATTGCGCACTTCCTGTCGTAGGAACTCCATGAGAGATGTGAGTGAAGTGGTTCCAGCATCAACTCTGCTCGGAATTTCACTCCTCTGCCACACACGGAGTAATTCCTCGGGCAGACTTGACTCCACAATCGGAAAAAGCATGGCAGCACACTTGTCGGTGGTCACTCCAAGCGAATCCAAAGCTCGAAGATGTGACTCCAACTTGTCATACATCTTCATGATGTCACATTTGTCCTTGCTGCAGACATTAGAGATCACCATCTTCAGTAGTTCTCGTACATACACCTCCACCTGTGGATGATCCCGTCCGAATCTCTCTTTCAACGCTTGCACCGCTTTGTGGTAATTGGCAGCAGTCATTGGATAACTGTCAATCAACTCCTTAGCTCTGGATCCCACCGTCATGCTCTGGCGAGGTACTGAAACTTGTCCGAAGTCTCCAAATCCTCATCAAGGTGGATCTTCTCAAATTGTGACCACCAAGACAACCATTCAGTGAGATCACCTCCAAATTTCTTCAGCTCCAGCTTCGGCAGCCGATACGTCTTCTCATCTTTGGTGGATGTAGACTCCAGACTCCGAACATTGGCTGCAGAAGGGCTGGCTGACCGGTCTTTCTTCGAAAGAAATCTACGTAACGCGTACCTCATAGTCACCAGCTTCTTATTGTATTCCTCACATGATAATGTCTCTTCATTCAATTCTTCTTCTGTCGCATTTGAATCCAATAATGCATCCATAGTCACATTGTCAAAATGCGTCTTCTTTTCAGCATAACCTTCAAGACGGCTGAGTTGGACCTCTTCATCGGGGTCTTCCTTAGCCAACTCCTCTTTCATTTCATTCACTAACGTCGTGAATACGCGTCGCAATGGTCCTCTTGCTCTTCTGGGGCGATCCATGGCTCCTTTCTTGACAAGTCTCCAACCGCACGGAAAATATCACGTCGAGGTCACCAAATTTCGAAAGACGACTAAATCTACCCGATCTAGACTCTGACTCGTTATTTCAGAAAACTGGTCTCAAGGAAAAGTCAGATACGTTCCCAGAACTATTTATTGACCACGCAAAATATATCAATATCACAAAGTCTGATTTTTCTGACAAAGGGCTCACAATCATAATTTCACAATTATCAAAAACTGTATCGAGTTATTTCTAGTCTATCATTTTTACATGTAACGCCATAGAAATGTCTGCCAATTATTTTACAATTAAGATTATCTACGTGTACATTTACGTCATAATTTAACAGATTTCTTGACAAATTCGAAAACATACAGTATTTTGAAAATTCAACGTTTTGATTGAAAATGGTTTTAAAATTCCATCCAGCTGTAAGAATAAAAGACATACAATTGTAAACATTTGGACCTGAAACAGGCACACTATGTATATTCCCAAGTATGCCCCTAAGTTAAATTTTCCCTTAGCAAGGCATATTTGAAGTTGTCAAAAAGTTTCGTTGCCTTTTTCCCGTCGCATATTTCGGTTTAAAGAAATTAAGAATGTAACAACTCTTTACGTACACAGAATTTCCCACAATCCAACAAAAAAAAGTATACATAGTAGCAATATAAAAAAATTTTGAGAAAATTTGGTGTCAGGTAATTTACATATGACGGAATTGTAACTAAAAATGCGAAGGCATGGAGTGATCTTCTCCGATTTTGACCCAACAATTTTAACTTGCTAATGCAGAGAAATAATTCGAACCATGCCTTTAGGTTTTCTTTAATGAGCCTAATTTCGCTGTTAGATGGATTTTTAAATGCAGTATCGGCTAAAATCAGAATCCTGCATATTAACTAAAATTCGAAAGTCAAACTATTAAATGTAAAAATTACACAGAATCTTTGCTCTAAATCCATACAAAAGTTTAAACCAATGAAATTCATGTAAAAATAATTACACAAGAAAAATAAATGGGATCTACCAGCTTAACGTAAGATGTAAAAAAGTTTATTTGCGTGGAATAATTTTTTTGTAAAATCTTAATACTCAAAAAAGTCCATTATATCTAGTGTAAAGCTAGCGACCCGGCCCTGGCCCTTGCGGGCCCCGGACCTGGTATTTGGTACCACCATATACCACTGTTGTTACGGTACTGGCGGCTCGATAAGCTGAAGGAATACGAAGGATTGGAAACGTGGTGGACCATGCTGAAGGAGATTACCAAACAATTTATTTCCGCCAAGGAGGGGAAAGTTGGATTGGTGGGGACGGAGTGGGAGGAGGATGGGGCAAGTTTTAGGCCCTCAGTCGGGTGGGCCATAGCTTTGCGAGATGTCGCAAACCACAATTGAGGCGCTGGGCAGTTTCCATGGCCGAGAATTTCCATGAGGGGTCGAAGGTTAAATGATGGAATAACTTTGAAAAAATATGCTTAATATGTAATATGCATACATAGTTTACAAATTCGAACTGATTATCAGTTTACCATGATAAACCTGATTTACTTATTTGTCAAAATAATAAACAAAGTTGTAGCCTGCTAAATTGAACTTGACTCATTTATTATGTACGTACGAATTTAGAATTGAAAAATTAACCCCGTTCCACGACAGGTGATTTCACGCTATAGGCAAATACCAGGCACATACAAAATATCATATTTCATAAGAATTTGACCATATTATTCTACATATTCTACAAGGAGAACCATTCTCCAGTGCAACACGTATCTCTCTCTCGCTCTGCATCTGGATCTCCTTCCATCTGGGTCGCGGGTGTGCCAGGGCCAGTTAAGTGTGTCCTAAGGCCCCTACGCCACGTGAGCCTCGTCCACTCACACCCCCCACCTGCGTGCCTAGTGACACCCCCTGCCACACCCGTCCCAGCAACGACAAGCTGAGCCATCAGACGATGATGGATCTCGTCGGACCCTGTGCACTGGAGGATCTACGCCTTGGAGGACTCCCCCAGGTGAGACCTTTGAGTGTTATATTGGGGTGGTGAGCATGTGGGGGTGGTCGACTGAAGAGTGGGTCTGCGCGGTGCTGGTGGGGGCGGCTGGGGTAGGTCTACGGGGTTCCCATGACCTGGTCATGTGCTGCGGTGGGAGGGGTTAGTTTGTGGAGAGTTTCATGGCCCCTTTATGGGGTCACTTAGGCCGAACCCTGATGGGTCATTGGTTAGTTTGTGGTCCATGGACGCTCCGCTCCAGCCCAGAACCCGTCGTGTCCCCGCCAGCACGTCGCCTACTCATTTGGATGTCACCATTTTTCCCCATATGTAAATCGCCTATAATCTCTGTCACTCTTTGGTTGAGCCTGGGTTTTTCAGGTAGTCAGGGCCGAATGGTGATCTGGGCATCCTTCCCAGTTCAGGTTGAGGTTTTCCAGACTGGCCACCATAGTCTGGTTTTCCCTCTACTCCTCTGACTACTATCTTAATTATTATAATCTAAAAATTTGACTACCTATGTAATTATGACTTGCAAGAGCTACTGGCTATTTATGCAATAAAGATACATACATATTCTACCAGGAGAATACCATGCTGTCTTCATGTGGCGGTAAAATCACCAGTCGCGAATTGGAGTTTAGCATTCAAGCGCCTTGGGGCGCCACCATCTTTTGCCGGGTGGCTCTTGGCAAGATCGGAGCCTGGCGACGTGAGGCACAATTTAGCGAGCAAGAAAATGAAACTGGTGCATTTATATTTTTATTATTGAATTTGTTTTATTTAGATTTAATTAAGTCACGAAAAGCTGCATATCACGAAAATAGCATTTATTACATAACGTTTTAAATAATATTAGATAATACATGCATAATTTAATAATTCATTTACAAAGTTAGGAGATTATGAAAAATCTTTACACATGTATCCCAGTTTTCACAAAGTCATAAGTTTATAAGTATACATGCCAGTTGATCACTCATTCAGAGAAAGAAACAGGCAAATTTGGAAAATACGAATGTCCCAAATTCATATTTTGTTTGACGGTTACATTTATAAATAAATTGTTACGTATTTTCTGGGCAAAATTGTTTTGGTAATGAAATAACTTCAATATTGAGTCATGGAATTTGAAAGATAAGATAAAGACCTGACTCGCATCAGTCGCATCTCGTGTTGATGTCAATTAGTTTTAAATACTTGCATAGTTTGACTATAACTTGCTTTTCAAGTTATTGTACTTATGCATATATTGTACCTATCACTGTCTGAAAACCAATTTAAAATAAAATTAGATACGAGTAAAAAAAATAATTGAGAAGAAAGTCTCCATTTCAGCACGATATGTATGTATGTATGTACGCTTCAGAATAAAGATAAAATCACAATATGTATGCTTAAAAATTCTACAAAAGTTTATTGAAATTGAAATTTGAACAAATCCATAAAAACCAACGTAAAAAATAAGGATAAAAATAATATCTCTGTCCTGATTTGTATGAATCCATGTGAAATTGACCCCGTCAGATTTCCCCGCGACAGATTTCCCCGGTCATATTGACCCCGCGACAGATTGACCCCACGCCATATTGACCCCGCGACAGATTGACCCCACGCCATATTGACCCCGCGACAGATTGACCCCACGCCATATTGACCCCGCGACAGATTGACCCCACGTCATATTGACCTCGCGACAGATTGACCCCAGGCCATAGATACATGTTCTACTTTATGTATTTACACACAAATAGTCAATTTTATTTCCTCTTCAAATTTAAGTCACATATGTATTCCACGCAAAAGTATACATACATCATGTAATATTTTAATCTGCATCTATTAGTTAAGACGTACATAAATACATCTGTCCCATGGACATTGTCCACCATGTACCATACGCAATTAACCCTTTGCTTCCAAAATGAGCTCGCTCCTTCTCAGTCTCACCCTGCCTCAACACCACAGGTCCGTTACTAAATATATTGCCACTACTATTAACGCACAAGCTGCAGTGTTTGGGGGTTTATGATCATCATCATCATCATGATGTCATCATATTCATATGATGTCATCATATGCCGTCACTGTTTGCTGAGGGACCACCCAGTGGGGTAAAAAAACAAGATACCCTTAAACGACGTTTTTTGACATGCCTAATACAGCCATGAAAGCGATTTTTCGAAAATCGAAAAAAAAATTTCCACCCGCTCTGGCGAGGGACCAGCCATTCTTCATTGCATTACTGCGAACGACGGGTGTAGACTTCTGGCTTTGTACTCAAGCCGCCTAAATCTATTTTTATAATTCGAAAGGCACACATTGTATTTATAAAGTCACGCTCACAACAGCGTTGTCCAGCCAAGTTCACGGTTCGTTTATTTTATTCCCCACTTGCAACGCCGCTCTTCCACATGCCCACAATGGATTCACCTAAAGAAATTCTCACCCGTGACCCCAATTTAAAAGTCTTCCCCTCTGACAAAGGAAAGCATTACGTT